TCCAGGTGTGTTTGCTAAGGAGGATAAGATCACGTCAGTACAAGTGATGGAGGGACAATCGGTCACACTACACACTGATGATGCTGAAATACAGGGAATGGACACGATATTGTGGAAGTTTGCGGATTACAAAAATCACGATGCTAAATTTGTTGTCATAGCTACACTGAATAAAACGAACAATGAAGAACTTCCATATAATACAAACATTCTCAAATTCAAAGACAGTTTGAAACTGGACCTCAACAGCGGATCTCTCAGCATCACTAACATCACAGCTAAACTCTGTGGACATTATAAACTCCACATCAGCAGAGAGGGACAGATGAGCATTCATACATTCATTGTGGATCCTGTGAGTAGGTCTTTCAAAGCTTTAAAATGCCTTAGTTAGAGGATAAATATTAATAATTTGCTACGTTTTATAATTGGTTCCATTTATACAGCGCTTTTCTAAGTACTCAAAGCGCTTTACATTTGGAAGGGGAAATCTCATCAACCACCACCATAATTATAAAAGAAACGAATACAGTTTTGTTATTTGTATCTTTTTTAATAGATACACATTTGTCTTTGTTAGAGCTCTTTCATTGTGAATAGTTAAAAATCACTGTGGTGGGAAGACTAATTTAATTTGTAGATTGATGCGAACATTCAAATACTTTCACTATTTTTACCGTCTATGATTTTTTATTTTCTTACAGGTTCCACTGAATAGAGAGCGGACCATATGCCGGAGACAAACCTGCCCTTGAACACATTATATATGCTGTATATATATATATATATTTATTTTTGTTTTCAAATTTAGATTTAAAATCTAAATTTGAATTCCACTGACAAAAAAACAAAACAAGATTTTTTTTAACCCTCTAACATCACTAATGACAAAATGCCTTAATGATAAATATAAGAGTTCTGTAAGGCTGAAAGTTTCTGTAAGTTTCATAAACATTTTCAAAAGCAACATTTTGAGAAAAAAAAAAAAATCATGTTTTGTCAAAGACTACATCCAGATCAGATTCAAAACGATGATCAAAACACAGATTGAGTAGATCGAGTCCATCGACACCCCTAAAGCTTCAGTCGCTCATCCTGGGTCGACATTTCATTAGACAGTTTTGATTTATTTACTGTTGATGATTGCATTATTTTACATGCATGTGATTACATATGATATGAGATCTCTTGTTTTTGCATCTTCCCCTGTGTTTTGATCAGGAGATTCAGTAGGACTACTCGTACAGATGATGCATACACTCTAAAAAATGCTGGGTTGTGGCAATCCAAATTTGGGTTAAATATGGACAAACCCAAATGTTAGATTAGAAATGTAATTTAAAATTTTAACCCAACTTCAGCTTTCATTTTCAACTGTAATTTTTTATTACATTTTTAACCCAGCCCAGTTGGGTTTGTCCATATTTGACCCAAATTTGTGTTGCAACAACCCAGCATTTTTTAGAGTGATAGCGGGTATAACAGTGAAAATTCCATCAATAACAGGGAAAGAGTTAATTGTAAAATAGTATTTTTTTCTGCATCTTTTTTTCCCTTTTCATTTATTAAATGTAAAGTATTTAATGAAGTCATGACATATGAAATAAAATCATGTGCCTTGATCTTTTGACATATAAAAGGTATTTCTACATCATGCAGGTTTATTATAGACAAAGCATTTATTTAATCAAGCAAGCAAAAAGTGATGAAAATGGAATAAACTGCACTTGTTAACAATTTTCAGGCTATTTACGAATCATTGTAAAACAATATTTTTTTCTTAAACATATAAATATAATACCTTTTATTTGTAAATGTTATTTTTTATGTTATTATACAGCCTACACATGTAAAGAAAAATATGTTTTTAACCAAACCTGTGTTTGGTCCTTATGTTCAAAATATCACATATTTAAACTGCAATCGAATCATTCATTATACATCACATTTCATGCATTGAAAGTAGCAAAGATCGTAAGAAAAAAATAAATAAAACGAAATTCAGAATCTTCTGAGAAGAGCAAATCAACTTCCAAACACATTTATGATGACAATGCAGTTAGATAAACGTTGTTTGAGGCAAATAGTGTTGATTATCGGTTTGATTGAGTTGGCTATAGGATGCATCTTATTAGCATAGACTACCTATTCGGTTTGATTCTAATTGTCTACTTGTTTTGCAAGACAAAATTGTCCCCGCCATAATAACGTTTCCATCAGCGTTTATCGCATTAGCAGTATCTATCAAGATCAAATCCGATCGTGAGACCGAACGTAGTAGGCCTATTCATGAAATTAAATCGAATTTTACTGTTTCTACAAGGCATTTTTCTCTCCATATCACTTAATACGGATAAAAACGTGTGGCTGGAAATATGCCTACTTTGTTCAAATACAAACAACAACAGATTCAAAATTAGCCCATCCCACACTCATTGAAAACCCGCCGACGAATCACATCGTGACTTTCACTTTTAGATAGGCTAGCTCTTTATTGTCATTGTATGGTATGCAATACAATGAATTTCTGTTGGAGCAGTCCTAGCAGCAAAGAGTAAAACATTTTTTTTAAGTAAAAAATAAAAATATGAACTTATCCATATACATACAAAACATACCCAGGCTACATACTCGCACACACGCAATCTCATTCAGTATGAGGGTATAAATATAGCCTACTCATACTTTTATTTCTTTATTATTATTATTTATTTTATTTATTTTTTTACATTTTTATACGTTTTACATAGCCTCCCAGACAGCAAACTGACATTGAATCAACGTGGAAACGACGTCTCTCATGACATTGAAACAACGTTGATTTTGCTCATCGAATTAACGTTGAACCAACGTCAGACGCGGCATTCTTCAAAGCTAAATGAAAATCGAAAATTGGTTTGCTTTCATAACGTTGAAACAACGCGTTGATGTCAGTAATGTCAGTTACTATGGGATTCATAAATTTTGGGGCATCTCGCCCGGGGGGCGGGGTTACGTCCTGCGTCACATCTCTCATGCGGGTTCTCGTCGACCAGGGTCAGCGCGGCTGAGCGCGCACCAGCGGGGACCCGTCAAAGATTCTATAGTTTTTCCAACCGTCTCTGGACTCGTCTGTTGAGTGGGAAGTACGTTACCGGCCTGCCTGTGTACATCTTTTTGCACGATGGAGGGTAAGTTTTTAATCATGCTAGATTGTTTTCCTGTTTAGTTAGGATTTCGACTGTTATAGAGTTAGATAGATCAGCTATAGAGTAATCTTCTTGACCAACTTCAAATCACGTGGTGCACTTTTTTTTACTCTTCACCCGTAGTCTTACAGAAGCCTCGTTTGGTTTGCACCCCTGGTCTGTGTTAACGAAATATAAATCATTTATAGATCTGCCTAGGATGCCTCCACATTCCGAAGTTGTCAAGAGAAATGGGGGATACATTTCCGTAATTGTAAAGTCGAAGGAGGATCTGACAACTCTGTTGGAGGACTAGGGCTTCTTCACCCATCTCTGGCAATACACACCAGTGTTGCTTTGTAAATAGGTTTCTTTTTCTTTTTTGTTTATTTCTTTTTGTGTGTGTTTATTTTGTATGATTACTTCACCTATGTATGCCTATTTGTACTCTGCTGACACACACTCTTAGAAAAAAATGCATCATTTGCTTTCATATATGAAGCATTGGGTTCTTTACTCAACTCCAAAGGAACGTTTATGCTAAAAAATGTTTATAATGACAAGAAAGAACCCTTTTGGCACAAAGTTTCTTTTCTGCAACATTTTGTAGTTGAAATTAAGTTATTGTTTATTAAACTGTTATAGTAACTTAATGTCACATTTTAATCATGCTGTTTTTTGTTGAATAAAAACTGAAATGTCACTCTTTGTGTGATATTGATTAATTACATGTTTTAACCCCCATATCTTGAATTTTGTGATCATGTGACACATGCATTGCATTTTAGGGGTTCCAATACGTAGCGCTTTAACCTTTTAAGAGTGGTTGTTGGTAATAATAATATAAAGGGGTGGGGTGTTAAGGGAAAACTTTTTTTTTATTGAAATTTACAATAAACAATAAAGAAATCCAACAAAGAAAGAACTTATGACAATCTCAAAATGTACAATATAAATATTAATGTATTACAAGCCAAGATTCACTGACAAGTGATGCATATATTTCCTTGTTGAAAACATTGCATTACAAAATTGTGTATAATCATGTGTATTGACATGATTAAAATCTTGCATTAAGGCCTGTTTCTATTTCATAATTCCAACTGTGTAATATCTGTATTGAGTCTAATTAGTCGTTAGGCCTACTGCTTGAATCACCTTAGAAAGAAGTTTACTTTTCTACAATACAATAAGTAGGCCTAACTTTATCGAGGTAAAAGTTTTCCCCGCTGTACCAGACGTAGGTCTCGGAGTGGAGAGAAGAGTGACAAAATCACGGTAAGGCTCTGCAAACAAAGCAAGTTAGGCTATCTGTCTAGCATTGCCATGTCAGTGTATTGACTGATTCATTGTCCCTTCATAGTTTGTAAGAGACATGTCAGGTTGTATTTAATAAACTGAGAGAAGCCTATATTCATCTGTTAATATGAAACGCGACTTGGCCATTGTAAATAAGGCTACAGCACTGTCAGCACATCTTGTACAACTTAAACCCATGTAGCTAGGTAACGATAAACAAACTGAAAGACAGCAATTCCAGATTTCGCTTTCGTTCACTAAACAAAGAATATGGAAATTAAACATCAATTTTCTATCAAAAACGTTGTAAAAAACATAACTTATTATATTTAAGACCTAGGTTCGCGCCTGCCTGTGTACGCTATGGGGCGCGCGCTCACCCTGGTCGACGAGAACCCGCAATAAAGATGTGACGCAGGACGTAACCCCGCCTCCCGGGCGAGATGCCCCAAAATTTATGAATCCCCAGTTACTATCTGGGCTATCCCCCTCCCCTCTCACATACACTATATAGAACAAGGTAGCCAACGGAAAATGAAACATTTCCTTTACGAGGCTGCTAAGAGGTAAAGAGGCGGAGCAGGCTGTAACCATTTTTTAACGGCTAATTTTTTGAGAGTATCCCGAGTTGACAAGGCAACCGCTACAACACGGGACGGTAAGACTACCTTCTTAAACTACACGTTGTAGAGATGAGTCTATCATCATTAATTTTCAGTGTACAACACTCGTGAGTTTTGGAAGGGTTTTTAGGCGTGTGATTATTTTATTAATGTTGTAGTTATGTTATGCGTACCATGTTAAACGCAATGTGTGACACTTATTTTTTTAAGGCTACATTTGCGATAGATTTTTCCTTTTAACTCTTCATATGGACATTTTTGAATTTATTAATTCAAAATTCTGTTTCATGACTTATTTCAACACTTGACAGATATGGGGGAAAAATTACGAAGCATGTGCATAACGGATAACGCAGTGAACTGTAAACACGTTTTAAATAATGCAACCAATCATGTTTCATTCATTCCATTGAACAAAATAGCTGTCAGTTAACAGACTTTGACCAATCAGGTTTATCCTCAACTGTCAACGCGCCATAGGCGGGACTTATCTCATTTTGAATAGAATCGTTTTTTAGAATAATGATGAAGGAATATTTTGAATTTACTTTTTGTGGACTTGACATTGCCCAGCACAATTGTTACGTTTTCTCTTGATTTTCAGATGCTGTTTCTCTATCTGTTGGTACTGTTGATAGATACAGGTAAGAACCGAGTAAATACTGTAGTGATGTCTAATTCTAAACACTGAAGCTATAGGTTTGAATCGCTATAGGGAACGATGATGACTGTGAACACATTTATCATGCGGATTCGGGCGGCTCGGTTAAGGTTGTCTACCAACCGGAAGGTTGGTAGTTCAATCAATCCCCGGTTCCACCTGACCAAGTGTCGAGGTGTCCATAAGCAAGACACCTAACCCCAGCTGCTGCTGACAAGCTGGATGGCGCTTTGCATGGCTGACTATGAATGAGTGAGTTAATGGGTGAATGTGAGGCAAAAATGTAAATGTAATGCTTTGGTGGCCATTGGGTCTGTGAATGCGCTATAAATGCAGTCAATTCAGTGAGATGTGTTCAACATAACCAGTTTTATCAATGGTCATCTCTCATCAGTTTTAATGAGACATTAGTAAAATTGAAATTAATAATTATTTGATATTGGTTTGTCTAGTTGAGCAATCCATGGAAATCGATAAAATAACTCATAACACAGACACTTGATAAGTAATCTTATTAGATTAGTTGATTGCATTTGATAGATTTTACTTTTAAACAACATTTGGAATTGGTTTGTAAAAGGCGTTTTAGGCATGTTTGGTCTGAGTTTCTATTGCAAATACTGTTGTGACCAGCAGAGGTAACCAAAACATTTCCAGAATGATTTAAGAAGTTGCAAAGAGCATTTTACATTTGAATGAAATAAAATCTGACTGTACGAATAGTCACTGATATAATTAAGCTACACTTGATTTCGGACCTAGATCTCAAAAAATAATTGTAATTAAATATCTTGGGGGGAAAACAAAACAGAGATTTGGACCGCACTGTAGTATAATAGTGAACAATTAAATTTATGTAAAATTAAACAAAAGTTGTGTTTTCTAGCCTCTCAGCACAGGTCGGCTGAAGAAGGCGTTGAAGGAGGCTCTGTCGTTATTTCGTGTAGTCACAGAAGAATTGCATTTGAAGAAAAACAACTGACAGTCTACTGGAGACACAACGACACCAGGAATGTACACGATATTATCCATGGAAAAGTTTCTGTTAAGGAACAACACCCAGCGTACAAGAACAGAACAGAAGTTTTACCTGACGAGCTCAAGAAGGGCCGGATCTTGCTCAAACTCACCGATCTCCAGCTCTCTGACAGAGGAACGTACATCTGTTTCGTTCCAGATGTGGGAGTTCATCCCAGTACACAACTGGTGGTAAAAGGTGTTGTAATGCCTGCTAATTTAATACATTTGGACAGAGTTGGTATAGTCAAACATGTTGTACAATATTGTGTTGTACATGCCAGGTAGAACACATATTTAGCTCTATTAGCAAAATATCTAGTAGTTTGACCTAATTTTTGCCTTCACAGAACGGCCAGTAATAGAACAGAGAGCAGCTCAAGTGAGAAGCCATGGTACAGAAACAAGCCTGGGAAGAACTCTGCAACTCCTACTTTTACCTGGATTCATCCTGCTATTTATTTAATTCTGCCCGTTTTCTATTGTTCCAATAATGTATAAATTTAATATTTGTATATATATTTTATATATATATATATATATATAAAATGTTCTTTACTACCTTTTTTACACTATGCAAATGAATAGCGTATTCAAAATGGCAATTACAAATTAAAGTTGTTTTTTTTTTCACATTTACTCCGGCATTTTCAATTAAAAACTACCACTTTAAAAGATGAATGAATGATTTTTGTATTCATTAATTTGAGGTTCTGTGTTCATTCATTGAAAGGTGATGATAAGGATTATCGATAGTCAGTAAAGCCTCCTGAGTGAAAATGGCTAAGAAACATGAAAAGGACACACAAGTTTGCGGCCATTACAAATTGTATTGTAAGAAAATAATTAGTTTCATTTCTCCAATAAATGCGTAAAGCATCACCGAGGACTCAGAGACACTAATAGGCACATTCGGGCATAGGCATCATAAACATCCAGCCGGCATTCGTTCCATACTTTTCAATCATGACAACATTCAACAACAGACGTATCGCTTGACTTTAGCATTAAACGTAATGGCTTGGCCACTTTAGTCCTACACAAAGCTATTCTGAATAGACATCCACGCAAGATCCAAAGTGTCTCGTTATCGGAATTTAAAGAAAAAAAGAGTTTCGAGTTATTTCGGGAAATTGCGTTCCGGTCCAAGAGGAAAGTGTCTAGTGCTGCATCGTTCCCTCTCCAGTCAAAACTTGTCCATTGAGTGTTTGTGCAGAACTTTAGGGAGGATCTACAGGTTAGATGAACCAAACATCAGGGCGACATTGTTCCTCATGGTTGAATTAATTTGTCCCGTTCGTTAAGGACACAAAAAGGTGCAGGACTGCTAAAAATAAAATAAAAAATAATCAACGTCACGTCAACGTTTGTGTGCGGCACGAATCCGAGTCTTAAAAAAAGTCTCTTAAAATCCAATATATTATTAGTATGGAAAAGTGCTAGGTGAGATAACTCTCTTTATCAGTCACCGCCAATGGCGACAACCGAGCTTTGCGACTCAAACCGCGTCGTTTACGAAAGCAAGGTCCGGGTCGGAGAATCGCCGGGAGGAGGTCTGGAGCTCCTGTGCGCTGGAGGTGTCTGAGGACTCGGACTCGGACGGGAAGAGGAGATCTGCTCCTGCCGTGATGTAGAGGGACTGGATGCTGTCTTTGCGACGGCCGGGATTCTCGCGCCGCTGGAAGAGGGTGAGCGACAGGGATTTTCGGGGAGGGAGAGACCGTACAGCCGGGTGGCACAGGACTCCTGGGGGAAGTTTGACCGTTCCCGGGATGATAGGGTGGCGACGCTGGAGCTGAAGCCTGGGAGAAGACAGTGAAGGAAGAGAGGAGGCGTCAGCCCGTGTGCTGCTTCCCTGGGCCAGGACGACAGACTTAGGAAGGCAAGCTGGTTTGGAAAATCTTGGCACTATCATTGGTTGTCCTACAATAGGAAGACAGAACCAATCAACCCCCAAAGCAGAACCCAAGACATGCCACCAAACAGTCATTAAAGGAAGACGACATGCAGTGTCCCATTCAGCATTCACCCTTTCTAAAAGTTACAATCATTTGTTAACAAACGTTACTTCATTGAGCTCATTGTTTCTGGATTAAAGGGTACATATCATGCTTTTAAATCATTCATTTTTACATATGAATCATACCGTTGTGGTCTATATAAAACATAACTGCAATGCTTGGGTCTGAATTCCTCATTATTATAGCTGCACAAGCCCTTTTTGTGATGTGCGTCTGTGAGCGACCCGTTTCAAAGCGGCCCCTTTAAATAAAAAGGAGATGCGTCACACCCCGCCCGCTCTCCAGGTCGATGAGTTCACGGTCGGTTCAACTCATTGGTTCGGCCATTATTGTAGTTTAACTAGAGATATACGATTATATACGATACCTTCAAAGAATATTTTTATTCACACGTTAATAAAATGTCAACAACAGAAGACTTGTCCATCAAGCCTTACATGTGCGATTTAGAGCGAGCGAGTTGATAAAGACGACGACGAACCTGCAGAACAACGTCTTCATCATATGAACTGTTTTGTGTTATTAGTGAAAGTCGACTATTTCTCTTGTTAACACAAGCACATTGCAGACTGATCTCATGAAGTAGCGTGTGTATGACACGCCAATTCGTATTTCCATTTTTGGCGTGCTATCAAGACGCATAATCGCCTTTCAGCGTGTTTATGAACGCCGTTGACTTAACGTTATATAAATATATGACTTACCTCAACCCCGTCCCTAAACCTAACCGTCACTGGGGTTAATGGCATTTATGACTGGAGATTTGACTGCGTGTACAGACATGCGGAATGACGCGGACGGTAATGGCGTAGACATATACGCATGCACGCGGATACACGCGGATAGCTCAAAATGCGTAGAGATAACACGCCACCTGACTCGAAAGTGGCGTATATGTTTACGCAAAAGTCATGATGTCATGTTGCACACTGACAAGATAAATGACTACGGTCTAATCTTCCCACAAACAATCTGTATTGATAGTATGATACGTTTAGAAAAGCATCAGAAAACAATGCAGCTAAATGAGCATTGATGAAACTCAAGAACAATAATACTGCAGACGTTTAACGTTACTTCAATACAAAAACAAAGAAAGACAAAGATACTGCTAAACCATGACCACCATGTGTTTTAAGAAAGTAAAGTACTTTATTTTTATTAACGATATTTACAGCTTATCGAAACGCTCTGTTCGTCGTCTCCAAAGATAGAAGGAATTTTCCCCTCATTCAGACGAAGTCAATCGGCAAACCCTTCTGTATAACGTTACTGGCGAAGTGGGAATCCTTGAAGTGCTTCAGGTCACTAACATACATCCAACAACCGAACATTTTGACTTGCCCTCTCGTAACTTCTCCATCATTGAGCTCGGACTACAAAATCGGAGCGAGAAATAATAACGGCGGATTGCTCGAAGTGTTGGACCGGTAGTCGATGTCCTTATTTGGCAGTTCCTCTGCAAATACGGCGACGTTATAGTTCAAAAAACGTCATAGACAACAGAAAACATGACCGAAACAGAATATAAAGATGTAAACGAAGCACCTGAAGAGAATAATTTCATCTTTTCTGTACTTATAAACACTCCAAATATACAACAAAATGCATTTAAGGGCTAAAAAAGTGGATTTTGCATGATATGTCCCCTTTAAAATATTACACCGTTTAAATTAGAGATCACTCTAAATTGTAATGTGGACTTGAAATGATGTGTATTGTGAAAAGCGCTATTGAAATAAATGTGAATTGAATTCCGTCACCGCAAACATGCACTTAACACCGAAACACTTGGGTTAGAGGAGATCACAACCTGCTACAGAGTGGACGGCACCGCCACCCTCTTTAAATGCGCCCGGAGCATCCCGTCCAGACCTGCGCTACACACACACAACAGGGACACGACCCACACATGGGTGACTACTGCACAGGAGAGAAAAGGAGATTGGACCGGAACGGAGGGAGTCTGTACCTTAATACTGACCTTCCGTGTCCGAACAAACGGCTCGCTCGTCCAGGAGACTCTCAGAGCTGACTGACGCCTCCGAGTCAAGGTTCTCCTGGTCAGAACCGGGCTGGTCCAGTTCAGGTAGCCTGCAGGCCAGTTCCTCTCTGGAAGACAAACACCATTCAAGAGTCATGCGATCCTGTCTCCAATGATCCAAGTGGTCTTTCTTCTACGTACTTTTCTTGCTTGATGGACTTGATCCTTTCCATCAGGCTTCGCTCAGCTTCCGTGTCTGAATCCAGGGGCTCGTTCTCGGGTACGACGCAAAGGTCGGAAGCTGGCTTCTCCCGAACCTAGAGGCCAAATAGATAGCAAATTTAACTTATTGACATTAAAAATTGCCACAAAAAGGAGGTTCTTCAGTGAAGGGTCTACAGTACCAAATCAAATCAAAACGCTCGCAGACGTGTCGCCGAGCCCAGAAAAAATATCTAGCCTGCTAGATATCCAGAGCCGTCGCGCGACTCAAACTCAGTGATGTCATGAGTACAGCCAATCAGAGCAATGCATGGGTAAATCTTTTCTTTTTTGCATTTTTTTGTCACGCAAACAGTGTGTGGCACTAGTTTCTGTCTGACGTCCATATTCGCGTGTTTGCGTTCTCTCTTCTTCGCTGGGTATAGAGTGCCGAAGTGATGTCACTTTGTAGGACAACTCGGAAGCTAGCGGCGCATTGGTTCCCTCGGTCGAAAAGCAATGCATTTTCCCCCATAGACTTTTGGAAAATCGCAAGATCTGTGTTTAACAAAACCCGTTTTGTCTATCAAGATAATCTGTACAAGTTAATCCAAAATTTATACATTTTGAAGCCTATATAAAGACACAATCAGACACAATAAAGTTTAAAAAACCACAAGCAGGTTATAACTGTGTGTTCTATGTCATAGATCAAAACGTGTTTTATTCACCACAGACCTTATTTCAGGCGATTTAGCAAAAACCCATTCAAAAATCCCATAGGCTTTAGAGCGAGGGAACCGTAGTGCTAAAATGCTAACTCACTTCCGCGTTTTGGCCTACAGAGTGACGTCGTAACTTCGGCACTCTATAGGCGCACTTCTGGTCATTTCTGGTTCGTTTCATTGCTTGGTTTTTCGTTACAAAACATGGTTTGTAGACCAGATAGAATCGTTGGGTGACAGAGTTGTTGTCAACTCGTTATTTATTTTCAGGATTTAGTCCGTGACATAGTACTGAAACAGCTCTCATAGAGTCAAAAACGATTTGCTCTTATCATCCGATCGTGGTTGTTTCTCTATGTAGCGCGTTGTCAACTCGTGTAGTGAGTTCCCAGATAGCAAACTGACAATGAATCAACGTGGAAACATGACATCGAAACAACGTTGATTTTGCTCATCGAATTAACGGCGAACCAACGTCAGACGCATCATTCTTCAAAACTAACGGAAAATCAACGTTGTTTCAACGTTATGAAAGCAAACCAATTTTCGATTTTCGTTTAGCTTTGAAGAATGCCGCGTCCGACGTTGGTTCACCGTGAATTCGATGAGCAAAATCAACGTTGTTTCGATGTCATGAGAGACGTCGTTTCCACGTTGATTCAACGTCAGTTTGCTGTCTGGGTTACCTCCTGTTGTGGATCAATCACGTTGAGTTGTGTGGTGTGAACAGCTAAACAACTTGAACACTCATGATTTCGCTGAGAGCAAGTCATGTAGTGTGAACCGCACAGTTCAGCCCGACGTTTTAAAATCATGTAGTGTGAACAAGGCTTTAGTCAAGCCCTATTTCCACCTTGTTTTTGGTGGATCAGATCTAGGGTTGGGTATCGTTTGAATTTGAACGATTCTGATTCCGATTCCTTGTTTCGATTCCGGTTCCTAACGATTCTCGATTCCGATTCTTTTAAGAGGCAGGGTCAAAAAAGTTTAGCTAACCTTGCTAACCAACGGTCTTTCTGAAGGAAATACTCCTGTCACAAATACTCCTTTTGTCACAAATTTTGCATTTTGCCGAGATTTCGTTATTTTTAGAAAAGTGAAGCCACACTTTGGATCGCCGACGTAAGCTACTCATGTTCGACTCGCGTGGTTATGCCAACACTTCCGGTAGACGCTTCTTCGTTGGTGTTGTTCAGCGGTTTCTTCTTCCGCTCGGCGGACTGTGAATATCGAAACTAGGAATCGAACTTTTGAACGATTCCGGGAAAAACGAAAAGTTAGTCCCGGTTCCAATCGATACTCGATTCTCGATACCCAACCCTAATCGGATCACAAGTAGACGAGGCAGACGTCTGGTGTTCTTATATCCACTTTCAACCATTTCTGTCTGGATTTCTTCGAGCGGAGGGAAATTTACATATGAACGCGAAAGCGTTAATGGAAAATCATACGGAGAGCAGCAACTTTTGTTTCTGCTTTGAGAGTCGAAGACCAGAGTGTGTTAGAAATCATGAATAGTGAGAGTACATTGTCCGTCTTCAAATCAGACTTGGGTCTTCAGTCGACAAAGTTTAAAACAATTTCCATAATGTTTACGCATTTGGTCAGTTTGTGGCTGTTCGAATGCATTTAACCCCATGAGCCTTTACACCAAGAAAACAGTCGGATCTAATGCGCTTTTTGACTGCCTCTGGAAGTGGTGGAAAGTGGACAAGCTCAAAACGATATCGACCCCGTTTACACCTGTATACACCCGCATACACCAGTCCACTTGTGCCATCCCTTTCAAAGTGGAAATGAAGAGTGCTAGAGATGTTTCATAAAGTAAGTCTGGAAGAAGGAAAGGTTCAACCATTTGGATGGATGTTAAATTGCGTTGAGGAACTAAATACAAGTCAAGTCTGGAAGTTTCCATGGCATGAGATGCAAAGGTTTGTAGGAATCAAAAGACTAACAGTCAGACTTATTTGTCTTCATGCTGTATACTATTAATGTTGAATTTAAAACACAAATTGCCTGCCAAAACTGATTTCACATAACTTTGTAATTCATGCCATTCACTGCAGTGACCACCCGAAACCAGCACACATCTACACCGACACCCTCTTGAAGGTCTACAGGTCTGAAGTGACACGAACACATGCAGTGGGTTGAGTTAGTATTAGTAGGGTATGACTTCCGCACTGCATGCATGAACATGCCACACTACTGGGGTTCACAATACCACAGGGGCATACGTACCGCCAATTCTTTGTAAGGAGTGATAAATCTGAGAGGTAAATGCCAGCACTACAGAGACATTAAAAAAAAGAGAAGCAAAAAAAAATGTTGCGACAGTTACTCTCTGTTGGTGCCTTGTGGAAGGTTGCGGACTGTTGGGGAAAGTAGTTGTTCAGGGGTGGGAAGAAATGGGCACTTTTCACAGGCATCTAGAAACAAATAGGGCTGGGTATTGACACAAATTTCACAATTCGATTCGATTTGGATTCCGATTCGATTCAATATCGATTATTTTGGATACCAGTTACAATAAATGGCAAATTTTCTCTAATTTAACTAATGCTGCACTATGGGAGTCTAGTTGTAGCCTACTAGGCGTCATTATCCTAATATGAAGGTAATAATGAACTGTTTTATAGCTTTACAAACACTTAAATTACACTTTTATTTATTTTTATAATAAGAAGACTATATGAAAAGTAAACATTTCAAATGGTGGCTGTCATAAAAACTTGCCAGATTTATTCAAACTTTAATTAAATATTGAAGAACATTAAGATTATAATGCATATGTAATATGGTGTATATGAAGAGTTCAGATGCAAAAGCCTCTAAGTGCCATTTGAAATTTTCTTCTAGAATAATCATTTTTATCAAGCTTGTATATTTAAGTTCAGTGATTTCACTTAAATGGCAATGATAATTAGCTATTAATTGTTATTTAAGTAACTTTGAGGCTTAGAGGCTTTTGCATCTGAACTCTTCATATATCTCTCTCGAGTTATTTTTTCTAGCCGACTATCGAGTTTATGTGGGTTTTCTGAGGTAAATATGAAGATGACATTGATTACAAGCTGTTTAACGGTTGAAACGCTGATTGAGCGAATTCGGAATTCGATAAGTTGTACTCTATCTTTTAACACACTTTCAGATGCTCATTCATGTTTATTTCGCGCGGTAACTGATATTATTAACCCGGAAGAGAGATCAGCTGCTTCTCCAGAGCGATCTCACGCCACAGCGCCAAAACGTTATTTATGTTTTTGAATTTCTAAAGAAAATGGACGTAATTTGAAAATTGAGACTTTGTTTCATATCAATAGTAACAAAGGACAAAGATTATTGCGATTTTTTGGATGCGCGCAGCCGCGATACAATGTCCCATTCATTCAAATGAAACAGGATGACTAATCGATTCGTGAGATTTAAGAATCAATATCGGTTCGTAAAAATGAGAATCGATTAATATCGAGAAATCGATATTTATTACCCAGCCCTAGAAACAAACCACTTCCAAATTATCCAGAAATGCATTCTGATAAACGACAGCTAAGGCAAAGTAAGTCAAGTTTACCGTGTTTTGTCTTTTTAGCTTGAGCTGATTGACAGCCAATGCCTCAGCGTATTCCAGCTGCTCGATCTCCTCCATTTTATCGTTGTATCTCCGGATCTGTTCCTGAAGTATCAACTCCACACAACTGAGGATAGTAAAGATTCAGTCTTGAGACTTCACTTTAAAACAACAGATTCTTTTTAAAGGATTAGTTCACTTTTGCTGATAATTTACTCGCCCCCATGTCATCCAAGATGTCCATGTCTTTCTTTCCTCAGTCGAAAAGAAATTAAGGTTTTTGATGAAAACATTCCAGGATTTTTCTCCATATAATGGACTTCAATGGGGTCCAAACGGTTCAAGGTCCAAATGAGAGTTTGAGATGCAGCTTCAAATGTCTTTAAACGACACCAGACGATGAATAAGGGTCTTATCATGCGAAACGATCGGTTATTTCAAAGCTTATTCCAAAAATGTAACTTTTCTAAGGACAAATGCTAGCCTTGCTCTATTCTGTGAGGCGCGTTTGCAACGTCACGTATTACGTAATTACGTTCAAAAGGTCACGGGCGACGTAGCCGGAAGTACAGAGTCAAAATCGTCCGGCATCGTTGTTTTACCTTTTAATTCCTTTTTTTGTAAACGGCGTTGAGTTAGTTTGCACGTTCAACTTGTAAACACTGACTCTGTACATCCGGCTACGTCGCCCGTGACCTTTTGAACGTAATTACGTATTACGTGACGTTGCAAACGCGCCTCACAGAATAGAGCAAGGCTAGCATTTGTCCTTAGAAAAGTTACATTTTTGGAATAAGCTTTGAAATAACCGATCGTTTCGCATGATAAGACCCTTATTCATCGTCTGGTGTCGTTTAAAGCCCTTTAAAGCTGCACTGAAACTCTCATTTGGACCTTGAACCGTTTGGTCCCCATTGAAGTCCATTATATGGAGAAAAATCCTGGAACGTTTTCATCAAAAACCTTAATTTCTTTTCGACTGAGGAAAGAAAGACGTGGACATCTTGGATGACATGAGGGTGAGTAAATTATCAGCAAAAGTTTTTTCAAAAGTGAACTACTCCATTAAGGACACACTTTAACTTGCAGTGTTCTTACGTGGTGGTTTTGGCGACGTCCTTCATGCTCATGAGCGGGTCGGCGCTGTCCGGGCAGCGGAGAATGCAGGGGGCAAAAACAATGGCCAGAGAGTTTGGCGTCATCCGATTGCTCTTCTCCTCCTTCGCGACCCTGAGAATGAAACCAGAGCATTAACACCTGACTTCTGCACGGTTTTCTAAACACAGCGTTTGTTGTGTAGCCTATGGACTAAACTCATCTGTACCTGACCAGGTGGAAAATGAGTCTCTCTAAGGTGTTGAAGTTTGCCGTTGGAAGCTGTTCCAAAACTTTGTAGATGGCTTGCAATTGCTCTAGCTTCTCAGGCAGTTCTATGAAAGACATCAAAAGTGTTATAACAAGCCTGAGGGATACCATACGGGCACGGGAAAGGTGTCATGGGGACCAACCTATGGCACGAAGGAAGTCATTGTAGTGCGTGAAGGTCAAGAGAGGTTCGGGCAACTCCCTCAGCCACTGTTTGACCAAGCCAGTGACGGCATGGATGGGGTAATCCTCCAGACAAACATTCTCTGGACCTTCACAAGTCATTCAACAAAGTTATCAAAGTGGGCAGAGTAAGCTACTAGACCTCATGCCAACAGTTAAGTCTAGGGCTGGGTATTGACACAAATTTCACAATTCGATTCCAATTCGATTCAATATTGATTATTTTGGATATCACTTACAATAATGGCAAATTTTCTCTAATTTAACTAATGCTGCACTATGGGAGTCTAGTTGTAGCCAATAGGCTTCATTATCCTAATATGAAGGTAATAATGAACTGTTTTGTGGCTACACAAACACTTAAATTACACTTTTATTTATTTTTATAATAAGAACATTATATGAAATATAAACATTTAAATGGTGGCTGTCATAAAAACTTGTCAGATTTATTCAAATATGCATTAATTATTGAAGAACATTAAGATTATAACGCATATGTAATATGGTGTATATATCTCTCCAGAGTTATTTTTTCTAGCCGACTAACGAGTTTATGTGGGTTTTCTGAGGTAAATATGAAGATGACATTGATTACAAGCTGTTTAACGGTTGAAACGCTGATTGAGCGAATTCGGATTTCGATAAGTTGTACTCTATCTTTTAACACACTTTCAGATGCTCATTCATGTTTATTTGGCGCTGTGACTGGTATTATTAACCCGGAAGAGAGAGATCGGCTGCTTTTCTTAAGCGATCTCACGTCACATCACCAAAACGTCATTTATGTTTTTGAATTTCTAAAGAAAATGGGCGTAATTTGAAAATTGAAACTTTGTTTCATATCAATAGTAACAAAGGACAAAGATTATTGCGATTTTTTGGATGCGCGCAGCCGCGATACAATGATCCATTCATTCAAATGAAACAGGATGACTAATCGATTCTTGAGGGACGTAAAAATGAGAATCGATTAATATCGAGAAATCGATATTTATTACCCAGCCCTAGTCAAGTCTAGAAAGAGGTCATCTTCCCAATGTGTCATTGAGTTCTACCTGCTTCCAACAGCTGGTGTAGCTCCTTCATGCGATTAGCTGAGCCGGACTTCCTATAAATGCCCTCCGTGTACAGGCCGTTCATTTCCACGTGCTCCATCATTATCTCCAGAACCACTGGCACAGGGGTCTTGCTATTGACCAGGTGGCACACGCGCACACCAAAGTGTTGTGATCCAGGCTCATCATCACACTACACCCAGAGCACACACACGGATCAACAAGATGTTTAAACGACTGCTTCTCCAAAACGCTTGGGATTGGATTCTTACCTTCTTGGAGGAGAACGTAGAGCAGTCTATGACGATTTTACTAATGCACTTCTTATGGCAAACCATTTTACAATCTGAAACAAAAATTATTTGTCATGAATATCATCAGCCTGATTGAAGGTCAATCAATGTACCCTACATATCAGATATACTCACAACTGCACATGTAGGCCTTCTCCATACCCCAGATGTATGAGGTGCACTGATCACATGACTGAATGATGTTGACTTGGTAGTTTGTAAACACATGGTCCAATGGATTCTCCAACTGATTCAAGACAAAATGTTTGCATTTATTCACATTGCAGAGTCAGACTGTGAGAATGGATGGTAGGATGATAGAAATACTTACGCTTTTAGACTTCTTCCTTCTCATCTTACGACTTTTGGGGGGCTAGGACAAATTTTTCCCAAGGTAAGATAAAAAGTTAGCATGTATTCTAGTTATCAACATTAATAACTTATTTAACCCCTTATTTAACACCATTACATTTTTAAAACAGTATTATCCTATACTAAACCTAAACTAATCTTGACAAACTATATATCATTTGAAAGCTTTGATTTTCAAAATATATTACAGAGGAGCCGTAATTTATCAATTTGCAACAAGAATATTTTCATACTCTAAAGCGTGTTTAGACCTTTATTTTGAAATTGTGATGAACATGAAAAATCATGAAAGAAGGGTAGAAACCTGTTTGTTTTCATGCCAAGAGTTCAAAAGAAAGCCTCCATTCAATTATTTTATAATTATAATAATTATTATTTCATATGGAAATGGAGGCGCCCTTATATGGGCAGTAATGGAGTCTGGTTGTGCCCCAGTGGAAAAGTTTGGTACTGCGCCCAAACAAAATCTCACTGAAAGCTCATTTTTTGAGATATCAACCTAAAATTTGAAACACAACTTATTCAGATTTTCTAGCAGTTTTGAAAATATATATTTTATATAAAACATGAATAATTAAAATTTTTATATTGTACATTTTCATAAACTCAAACTTCTAACTTTTCCTCTGTTTCACATTCTTAATTTATTTCACTTCTACAAAAATCTGCCAAATGTCTTCTTTAAAACGAGACCATTTTTACGTCTATATTCCAAAGCATTCTTGAATTACAACCATTTTAAGTTCTAAATGTGCATTTTCATCTATATTCAAAAAGGGTGACACTTAAGGGGTTAAATCGTATAATGAAAGTACATGAACTTTCACCTTGGCTGGTTCGGCCTCTTCTTTTTTGATTTCGGCTCTGATGAAGCCGTCCAGAACTGACTGGAAGAGATTGACCACCAGCGGTACCTCACCCTTCTGCTTATCTCCAGCCAGACTGATCACTTTATTCTGGTAGCAGTTCATCAAAGCCTTATACCCGATTTGTGATTTCTGTGGATGCGTGAAGGAAGAAGAAGTCAATAACTCGATGTTTAAGTATTCTGAACACAAGTTAGATGTGGGCAATTTCCAGGGCTTTGCTTTCTGGTTGCTAAGATGTCACTCTATCAATGAAAATATCATTAAGACATGCATATCTTTTGATCTAATGAACAATAATAATGATTGACCGAGCAAATGGACTGATGGGATCTGGAGTATGTGGTCTGCTGCAGTTTTGGTTGTATTAGCTCTACTCACAGAGATTGAGTACATCCCCTTGATGTTTTCTCTGAACTGCACAGTGGCTGTAATGAAGATGTGCTCCGTTCCTGAAAGCTGTTTTCCCCGTGAGCGCAGGTCATTCACCTAAACCGCAAGAGGGAAAGAACAAGTCTGAATGGATGCAAATCTGTCAGAAATTGTAAACAGTTTTTTTCTTTTTACACTTTAAAGGAGTAGTTCACTTTTAAAAAACGTTTGCTGATAATTTCCTCTCCCTCATGTCATCCAAGATGTCCATGTCTTTCTTTCTTCAGTCGAAAAGAAATTAAGGTTTTTGATGAAAACATTCCAGGATTTTTCTCCATATAATGGACTTCAATGGGGACCAAACGGTTCAAGGTCCAAATGAGAGTTAGAGTGCATCTTCAAAGGGCTTTAAACGACACCAGACGATGACTAAGGGACTTATCTATGAGTCATGACTCGAAAAACATTTGTTCATTTTGATGAACGAGTTCGAACAGGAGAGTCACGAACGCGCGTCACAGAACAGAGCAAGGCGAGCATTTGAGCTTATAAAACTTTTTAAAAAAAATGTTTTTTTGAAATGAGCGCTCGTTTCGCTAGATAAGACCCTTATTCATCGTCTGGTATTGTTTAAAGCCCTTTGAAGCTGCACTGAAACTCTCATTTGGACCTTGAACCGTTTGGACCCCATTTAAATCCATTATATGGAATGTTTTCATCAAAAACCTTAATTTCTTTTCAACTGAAGAAAGAAAGACGTGGGCATCTTGGATGACATGGGGGTGAGTAAATTATCAGCAAAAGTTTTTTTTAAAAGTGAACTACTCCTTCAAGGACTATAATAACTCTACAATCAACTATCAAACATCTTGCAGTCATATAAATTCTTCATACCTGATTGCCTAGAAACTCATCGAGGTTGCGTAGCTCATTGGTGTTGGTGATCACACGGTTTAGCGAGGCGTTCCACTGCTCTGAGGCCCGAGTCGTCGAGTGACTGATCATGATGCTGGGCGTCCGACCTAGCCGTCCCGGATGAGTCTTTGAATTTTGTGAGCGTGATGGAGAAGTGGCTATGAAAAAAGAACAATAGAATGAATGAATTCAATTCAATCTAAACGAATCATTGTGTTATCTTCGCAGTATGAACCTTCTCTTTGATCCAAAAAGGAAGCCACGCTCAGGTCTCCATCTTCTGGGGTCTGAGCTTCTTTATGCGGACGCTTCTTCAGGATCTTTCTGAAAAACCCTGTTGTCCTATGAAACAAACAAAAAAAAATGTACCATTTTATAAAGTAGTTTTTTTTACATTTATTTATTTAGCTGACGCTTTTATCCAAAGCGACTTACAACTGCTATATGTGTCAGACGTCGCATGCCTCTGGAGCAACTAGGGGTTAAAGAAGTAGTACACTTTAAAAAAAAAAAAAATTGCTGATAATTTACTCACCCCCATGTCATCCAAGATGTCCATGTCATTCTTTCTTCAGTCAAAAAGAAATTAAGGTTTTTGATGAAAACATTCCAGGATTTTTCTCCATATAATGGACTTCAATGGGGACCAAACGGTTCAAGGTCCAAAAGACAGTTTCAGTGCAAACTGCAAACTGTTCAAAGGGCTTTAAACGATTCCAGACGATAAATAAGTGAAACGATCGCTCATTTAATAAATAAATAAATAACAAAGTGTAAGTTTTATAAGCTCAAATGCTCGCCTTGCTCTGTTCTGTGATGCGCGTTCGTGACTCTCCTATTTGAACTCATTCATCAAAACGAACAAATCTTTTCCAGAGTCAACTCGTTCATTTCGTTCGTTGAATGAACCAAATGACACGAAAAAAGATTCATTCATTTTGATAAACGAGTCACGAACACGCGTCACGGAACAGAGCAAGGCGAGCATTTGAGCTTAAACTTTTTTTTTTTTTTTTTAAAAGAGCGATCGTTTCGCTTGATAAGACCCTTATTCATCTTCTAGAATCGTTTAAAGCCCTTTGAACAGTTTGCAGTTTAAACTGAAACAGTCTTTTGGACCTTGGACCGTTTGGTTCCCATTATAGTCCATTATATGGAGATAATCCTGGAATGTTTTCATCAAAAACCTTAATTTCTTTTCGTCTGAAGAAAGAAAGACATGGACATCTTGGATGACATCGGGGTGAGTAAATTATCAGCAAAAGTGTTTTTAAAGTGAACTACTCCTTTAAGTGTCTTGCTCAGGGACACATTGGTGTCTCACAGTGGATTCGAACCCGGGTCTCTCACACCAAAGACGTGTCTTATCTCCACCCATTAATAAACACCCAAGCAAAACATGCTGGGAGGTCCCGAAAACACTCAAGAAATCACACACCTCTCTACTCACAAAGCAAGGAATTTTAGGAATCTCCCTCTCTCTCATAGGAGATGCCTTGCATCCATATAAAGGAGTATATAACCAATGCCAGGAGTCAGACAAATGACTACCACTGATGTGAGCGAGTGGCCTTGTTTTCCCATGAGTTCAAATGAGTCAGATTTCCTGTGTGACCATGTTCTACTACTGATAAGAGTATACATTTGGGTTGGATGAGTCAATTATCTCTTTATGTTGAGTCGTGAAAATAAAAGCAACATGTAGTCTATGCAAATATGTGAGAAAAAAAAAAGTTTCCCGCTATGCTCAGTTTCACGCATTGTGAAATGTGTCAAAACGAAGGTCATAACACAGTGCAAGTACATCTAAAGGACGCTCGAATAAACTGTCCTCTTCTACAGTCTGATTTGTTTTGGTGAAGCAACAGTTTGAAAAGAATAAAAGGTAGTTAATACTGGAAGAGGACAGTACCTCTCTGGGGTCGATGGCTGGAGAGGCGACACTTCTTGCAGGCTGTGGCTGTCGTGAACTTTTTCCTTCAACGTGTTGACCTTTGTGCTATCAGGACCAGCACCAGTGCTGTACTGTGTCTACACCAAAATTAATGAGCACAGTAAATGTATTAGTTGAATAAAACACAGTCTAGTGTACAGTAACAACCATTTAAGGCATAAGGGTCAGTCTATAAAGGATCCTTCTTCCTGTGTAGATAACACCTTATCCCTGGTTCAGATTACACGATTTATTTTTGTCTGTTTTGTCAGATTACGCGATTTTGACTCCTAAAATCTTGTGTCGTGGACAAGACACATATCGTTGCTTCCTGACCAGTCATCGTATGCGCGTGATGTCATAGAGAAGACGAAACTAGTAGCGAGTGACTTCCGGAAACAAACAATGGATGAAGCGTGAAATGGTGAGTGTTGTATTGGCTGTCCTGTGTTCAGGAAAACGTAAAAAGAGAAAGAAAACCCGACAATGAACGCAATCCTGGATTGCTCGAAGAGGACAGTATGGGCTGTCAATCCTCCAAAGAGAACTTGAGGTAAAATATTGTTTTCTTATATATATTTTAGTGCTGTCAAACGATTAAAATATTTAATCGCGATTAATCGCATTAATGTTGTATTTAACTCGCGATTAATCGCATTAATGCCATATTTAACTCGCGATTAATCGCATTAATGTTGTATTTAACTCGCGATTAATCGCATTGATGCCATATTTAACTCGCGATTAATCGCACATTTTTATCTATTCTAAATGTCTTTTGATTTCTTTTTGTTACATTATTTTTCTCTCGTTTTAATGCTCTTGTCAACATGGAAAAGTGGATCGGCTTGTTTAGTGCAAATGTTTTTTTTATTATTATTATTGAAAATAACATTGGAATAGTGTTCAATTTCACACAAACATATCGCTAGGTTCACAACGACAAAACACAGATCACTTTGTCTTGTCAATGGGACAATTTGGCAACTTTTTCAAAGTAAACTTCCCATTCAGAATCTTCTAAGGGCATCCATTTCGGCGTCTCGCGCTCGTCATCCACTCAAAACGTAACTTTACTATTTGGCCGGCTCGCAAGCCGAAACGAGTGTGTGCGGCACAAAACGTCCTCGCGCTGCGCTCTGAACCCATTCATTTCAATGGCTTGCGCTGCACGAGGACGTTTTGTTGCTTCTTCGACCAAAGCGCAAGCGAATCTAGCTAGAACGGACCAAAATAGGCACGCCGCAAACATACGTTTCGGCTTGCGAGTCGGCTTTGAGTGGATGACGAGCGCGAGACGCCGAAATGGATCAGAACGCATGCCGCGACCTATTGCAAAAGCATGTGAAAAAACTACAAAGTTTGCTAGGACAAAAAGACCGTTAATCGCGTTGAAATGGGTTTGCGTTAACGCCGTTAATAACGCGTTAAACTGACAGCCCTAATATTTTTACTTTTAGTTTTAAAGTCTTTAGTTCATAGTCTCTCTTTCGTTTCGCCATTTTTGAAAGTTGTGTACGGAAAAGCTTCTGTGCTCCTATTGGTCAATCTCATTCATGTGACGGAACAGTCGCGGACGACTGTTAAAAAAATTAAACATGCTAGTTTTTTCGTCGTGATGTCGTGAGGCTTCGCAGACGCGACGTAGGTTGCGTACACTATACGAGATAAAACGATCGAATCTTACGTCCCGACGACCGTTGTCATTTACGAATCCCCACGACACGCTACGTTAAACGGATCGTACCAAAATCGGGCTAAAATCGTAAAATCTGAACCAGGCATTAACATAAGTTAAAGTGTAAATGCATCCCTTTATTTATCCCAAAACGAGTAATTAAAAAGGGATTATTAGCTTTGAAAGACAAACAATACGGAAAGATAGAAGCAATAAGTAAACCAAAGTCTAATTTTTTATTAGAAAAATATTGCTAGTTGAGGTTTTAGTCTGTTATCCCATAAGCCCAGTTGCAAAACCCACTGAGCTGTCAGTATAAAACCTGCAGTGCAATGCGTTTTCTTCCAATCAGAGCAAGCTCTACCGTGTTGGCAGTTTGACAATAGGTCGCTCATTTAAATCTGACAGTACCTATTTGATAACAGACTAAAGGTCTTCAGGACCATTTATTTTCCCTCAGTGTAAAAAAAGTTCAAGATATCTGCAAATCCCTCCCATGATACCAAGCACTTAATCCACCAGCAACCAGCACACCACATCTCCCTGGACGGCATCTAATATCAGGCTGCAATACAACACCTCAAATGGACTCATAGGGGGCAAAGGATAAGTCCAGTACTCTGCATCCTCCATTTCAACACTTTTAATGGGCAAACATATACGTGCAAGGGCGAGCCGAGGCCTGCGTCTTGGACGAGCTTTTCCCTAAATCAGCCAGAGAAGCATAATTTCTCAAATTTAACTGATTGTTTCATTTATAATCCTAAAACACCAATGTAACCACAGCAGGAGTAAAAAAACAGCAGATTTCATGGTTGCATACCGAGACTACTTCGAATAAATGTATCCCTTCACGTTTATCATTCATCACCTACCTGTGATGAGCCACCTGAACCAATTTTGGAGACATCATCTAGCGACATAGAGATCCCGCGATTCCTGGTCAAATTTGGAAAACCAGATGGAAAAACATTGTTAGACTCAGAGGAGATGAAGAAAGGTATAAAGGCAGAAGATGATGGGAAGCCATACTGGAGAGATTTGATGTTCCTCTCCTCCAGACTGCGGGGTCCTGCCATGATGAGGTTTTCTGGCTGAGTGTTGCTTCTCGATGGTTCCTTTCTCCGGTTGGCCTCTTCTTTGGCAAGAGGAGGTTGAGCAGGGTCGCTGTAGCCATTTCTTCCAGGCCCGGAAGTAGGGATATCCAAGGGTAAGGTGGAGGGCCGAACAAGTTCGGGTGGGACATCTTTGGCATCCCTTTTGCTCTTTTCCCCTTTCCAAGCCACAAAGGTGTACTGATCCAACTCTTTGCTGTCAGACCGCTCCTTCAACTTGCCTTCAGCTTTTCCTGGACTCTCTAGAGTTTTGCTCTTGGAAGGAGCGTCGTCTTTCCAGGCCGAAGCCGCCCGTTCACTTTCTCTCTGGCTATGCTCAAGGCCACGTTGTCTCCTCAGCTCCCGTTTTTCCTGACTTCTGGATACTGGCAGTTTGGAAAGCTGAGGAGCTCTGTTTTGGATCTGTCCAGTCGGGGTTTCGGGAGACATGGGTTTACCTTGTGTCCTTTCATCTCTGGGAAGTGCGGGCAATTCTGTCTCAGTTTGCTTCGGTTGCTCCTTGACCTCTATAGGAGGACCAGCCTCCACTTGAAGGATCTTCTCAGAATCATTTAGCTTTTTTGGGACAGAAACATCACCAACATGGGCCTTGCCCTTCCCTTCAATCTCAACGTCCACAGGATCCGTATTGGGCCCCAGGACTAGTGTCTTCTCATCACCAGGCTCCTTTCCTGATGTTGGAACTGTTGGTTGTGGTAGTGACGTCTTCTCCTGCCGCTCAGCCTCCAAAGCAAGCCGAGCTTCTCTTTCCTCATTCTGTCTTCTAGCAGCTTCCTCTTCCTCTTTAGCTTTCCTGGCAGCCTCTTCTTCCTCTTTGAGTCGCCTGGCCGCCTCCTCAACTTCTTTAGCTCGCCTAAGAGCCTCTTCCGCTTCCTTGGCTCGTCGAGCTGCTTCCTCCTCCTCCTCTTTTCTCCTCCGAGCTTCCTCTTCCTCTCGCTTCCTTTTCTCTTCCTTTAGGAAGTAGTACCTAACCAGATCACATCCAAAACTTACTGAATCATGTTCAATAATCAAAAAAATCTGTATTAAGGTGATTTCATGTCGTCTATACCGTTTGCGAGCAGATTGCCCCCTTGCGAGTGCCTGTATCTTTGTGATGGAGGCTCGTGTTTTTCGATATTCGGCTCTTTGTTTGGAACCCCGCCATGCTGTCTGGATCAGAACCACGGCTTGGTAGAACTTCTCTTTGCGGAGCCTACGCCACGAGCGCTGTAGAAAAGGCCAATCAAATATTAGGCATGACTAGATTGCCCAACCGCAAGTCTACTACCGAAACAAGTTCTTGATATACCTGGATCACGATGGCCGCCTCTCTCATTCTAATAAAGTCCATCCTCTCAATTTTGCCTCTAAACCAGCGCTGCAAGAAAATTATTTTGTGCATGACATCCTTGTGCAGGATGTCCTGAAGCTTTTGCCTTTCAAGCTCTTTGAGATACACCTGTAGAAGCAACATAACTGTTAGGAGTCAACAACTAGAGACATTGTCACTTAAAACACTTTAGGGCACCCAGATTTGTTTTTACTTTGGTTCTTCCAATCTGGTAGGTAGTGTGGTCAAAACCAAGCTTGTGCAGTAGAGATGATATTTCCTCCAGGGACGTAGCGTTCTTTGGCAGCAATACACGAAATTGTTCAGTAAACTCCTGCAATGCAGAAAAGGAGCTTTGCTTATTCAGTCAAGCCATGTTACACACTTGCGTCCACACTACTACGTTTTCGTTTAAAAACGGAGAATTAAAACGAATACGAACTCAGTCCACACCAGCGCTTTAAATGCACACATTAAAACGACTGAAAACGCGGATCACGTGACCATTCACCAACACTGGGCGTGCGTGTGGCAGTGTAAACGGTGGCTGACGAATCATGTCATGACTGATGGCACCCAATCATAGAGCCGAGCGCGAGTCTCTACTAGAGCCAGACCGATATATCGGCCGATATTAGGCATTTTCCAAAATATCGGTATCGGCAGTTATAATGGCCGATAAATGAATATTTAAAAATAAAATAAAAACGGACGAAACACGCTTCAATCATCTCTCCTTGGCCTGTTATATTGAAAATGTATGTTTTACAATTTGCAGTATGATGTTATCTATTGCTAAATCATGGCTCATCATAGACTAGCTAATGCCACTATCGTCAGTGGAAGACCGCTAACGTTAACATTAATGAGCTTGGAAACCACAATGAACTTTTTCTGCCTAAATAAAGTAATTATTACTGTATTTATAAGTAGCATATCTCTAGTTACAGTCCCTGCATTGTAAAATGTAAGTTATACTTGCGAGGAGTGAACATTTAGACATAGAGAAAAAGTATCAAACGCATCTTGTGCAGAAAAGTTAGCTTTTCTTTTACACGTGTGTGAAATCCAACAATATGTAATAAAAAAAAAAAAATATCGGCCGATATATTGGAATATCGGATTTTAAAACCCAAAAATCCTTTATCGGTCGGGCTCTAGTCTCTACGTCATCGTTTCTAAACTCCTACGTTTTGTCCCGTCTCCACTAAAACGCCCTACGGAGATTCAAAACGCAAAACGTAGCTGCAGCGTTTCTAAACTTCTCCGTTTTAGGTCTTCGTTTTTTCCGTTTTAGTCTGGACGGGAGGTGCAAACATAGCAAAAGGTCTCCGTTTTTAAACGAAAACGCAGTAGTGTGGACGCGGCCTTAGTTTAATTCCTAGGGATGTTCTTTCTAATCTATGCGTTACCTGAAAGGTGTATTTGGCTCCATAACCTGACCGTCGGATGCGCACTGTTTCCAACATGCCTGTGTACCGCAGTTGCTGCACAATGAGCGCCTCATCAAAACACATTTCCCTCTGAATGTGAAATATAAAATAACAGATATAGATGAAAAGTTCAAAATTCAGACCAGGAATCTGCATTGTCACATTGACTTTAATAATATTTGCACCTTTTCAGCATTGGAGCGGAGGCATCGAATGAAGAATGGTTCAGCCTTCCCCAACGTTTCCAGAAGTTTACTAAGAGATGTCTACAAGATGGAGAGATTTCACAATATTGAGTGGAAGACCAGAAGAGAACCACACAAGAACCCTTCAGCCCATTACATTCAATAGAGATTAATGTTCTTAGCATTTCATTTGAGATGTAAGTGCTAGAGTTTTAAGCTGCTCCAAAACATTGTGAGACTTCTGTTATTCCTTTCTGTCTACTGCTCTACACAAGCAGCTGTTTTTATTGTGCCACATCAATAACACGTAGCACAAAATGTTTATTAGCATCTTGCTAAGCACACATCCATTTTCTCTGCGTGAGAAAATGGACGTGTGGTGTGAGAGCGTTTGAAAAGTGTCAATTGCGAGAGTTTCACACCGAATGCGTGAGAGTTAGCAGCCCTAGTTTATGCTCGAGCACAGTTTGGACCTCCACTAGGTTTTGGAGCAGACCATTTTTGTTTTTAGACTGAACCACCAAACTTGGCTCAAACAGCCAGGCTAATCTAATAGTTTTTTACTTGAAACTGGGCGCTGATGCTGGGAGGACGTTTCTTCTTGTGCAGATGAAGCAAAGACTTGGTGGTGCGGTCATGGAGGCCCACGATGAACTTCAGCGAACGAGAGTCCAACAGGCTCTGCCCAAACACACAAAAACAACGTGAGTTTCTCTCGCACAGAGACTTTCTTTTGCCACATGAGTGCCATGGGAACATGACGGCATGGAAAGTCTCATTCCAGACAGAGTCTTCAAAACATTTACCCTGCACAGCACATGTAACGGAAAGTCATAAACAATCAAACGGTGATGGAAATGAGAATATACCAGCTGTGCTGCAAATGCTCACAGGTTAAAGGTGCAATACGTGGTTTTTTGAATGGCCACACACACAAATCGCCAAAAGCATTATCAAAAGAGCCGTCTATGCATGTATTTCTGCTAGCATACCGATGTTTATGTTACATTGACGTTACTCTAAGTCTGGTTGAAGTTATCGAAGCAGCAGAAATCAATTGCAAGCACCTTGACTGTTGAACAAAAACAGACTCTGTTATTTTAAAGGGGTCATGAACTGGCTTTTTAAATTGTATTATATTGTTGTCTGAGGTCAACTTATGACGTTCGCTTGGTTTTTGCATTCAAAAACATCAAAATGAATAAATAATAGGCTGTTTTGAGCCTAGCTCAAAAACGCTCGGTTTTTCTGGGCGTCTCGCACTGAAGACTTGGAAGTAAACGCCCACTGCTGTGATTGGATAACAGTTTTGCATATTATAATGAGTTTCGATGTACATGGGGGAAATTGTTTCGAAAACGTCCAATGTTGTAAAATGGCGACGGGAATGATTCGCCCATACATGTTCGACCCAGAGTCCGTTTGTTGCACCATTCCTGTCAGATCCAATATAGACGGCACAGCACCGTTCTTTACTCTTAATCGGTCTGCAAATCCAGCCTTGTTTACAAAACAATCCTCAGTGAAATGAAGCGAACCGACGGACAATGTTTTACCCTCATCAGCTGGAACGCCATTAAAAATAATGCCTACCTCGTGATGACCTCGTCATAACGAGGTAGGCATCTATGTTAGTTAACTATGCATGTAATGCGCGAATCGGTGGGCGGGGCTAAACCGAACGTGTTGAAGTAGGCGTTGATCGTTGTTTTATCCTCTTTGACGTCATAGTTCCCCACTTTGAAAAACGAGTCTGGTGTCAATAAAAGCTTTTATTGGACTAACAAGGACGTTTTCAGTTCTGAAACTTACAGGATATTCTTATAATATGATGACCTCTTAGATGTCAAAAGCTCAAGGAAAATTTGATTCCTCAGTTCATCACCCCTTTAAATATGCACAGTTTGATCAATTCAGAAAGCGATGCATACCTTGGGAATGAGTTGCTTGGTCTTGGTGTTCTTGCTTTTCCTGTAAAGAGGAAAAGGAAGGTTGATGGTTTGTTGACATAAGAAGTGAATGGATACTAAGTGTTAGTAGAGTGAGTCATGCATTTGCTTGCGAGACATGAGTAACACACTCGAGAAGTTCGACGAAGAAGACGCAATGGTGTGGAATATGCCGGGTCTACATTTGAGCAATCAGTTGTCTAACATCCCCATTGAAATGAAAGGATTCACAGGGTTCTTGGATGTTAAATCTGACATGTAGACGGAGAAGAAGATGCAATGGTGTGGATCCACATCCCAGCCCTTGAGTTTGTCAATTTGAAACCAGTTTCGATGGAAATCCATGGATTTAGGGTGTTCTCGAAGGTTCAATCAAGCATGTAGATGGCATTACAGCAAAGATGGATTCAATGGAGATGGGAACGTCATGGTTGGGAGGAATGATGTCTCTTGATTAGGGATGGGAATCGAGAACCGGTTCTAAGTTTTACGATCCATCGATATTGTATGCCCTCGACGTTAACGAGTCCTCTTATCGATGCTCCCATTGTATGTAGGCTACAGACCGTGAACTCACAACTGTCCCTGTTGTATTTTTTCACAACTGTCCCAAGCGAATTTTTGTACCACCAAAGCCTTACTTGATCTGTGATTAAAACTGTCTCTCTCTGTAGTGATGAACCTAAAATAGGTGCTAAAATAGGCCTTCGTTGCCTTATTATCTTCTCTGAAAAGCGTTCCGCACATTCATCTGACATAAACCACACTTCAAATAAACGATCCAGTGATGAAATGTTTTCTTTGATGACACACATCATGTGGGATGTCCCAACCACCGGGATAATCACACGTCCGATGATGACACGTTCAATTCGCGAACTTACGACTCATTTGAACCGATTCGTTTGAATGAATGGTTAAAACAACTGAACTGATCTTCCAACACTGAACTCACGGGACTTATAATAATCGGTGAATAACTAATCGTAACACTTTTCAATAAGGTTCCATTTATTACATAAATAACATAAAAAGTACAGTTTGCTTAGTCAAGTCGTGTAAGGTTTAAAGGGTTAGTTCACCCAAAAATGAAAATTAAGTCATAAATTACTCACCCCCATGCTGTACCAACCCCGTAAGACCTTCGTTCATCTTCGGAACACAAATAAAGATATTTTTGATTGAATCTGAGAGCTGGATCACTCTTCCAAAGGCTTCCTAAGGGACTGGCTCTTGACGGCCCATAAAGTCATTAAAGAAAAGGTTTAAATATTCCATGTGCCTACAGCGGCTCAATTATAAGTTTATCAAGTGACGAGACTACTTTTTGTGCGAAAAAAACATAAATAACGACTTTATTCCACTATTCCATTACTTCCTTATGGGCGCATGCGCGAGAACTGAGACGAGGACGTTCTCATTCGTCTACTTCTTGTTACCGGCTGCTCACCGCTTAGGAGTTTTACCGCCACCTACCGTATAAAATGATGATCCATATATAAGGCGCTCCGGATTATAAGGAACACTGTTGTTTTTTGAGAAGATTAAAGGCTTTTAAGTGCACCTTATAGTGCGGAAAATACGCAAATTGAAAAGCGTATGTACAGCGCGCATCTTCCTCGGCTTGTAAACAGAAAGTTTTGCGCTTCCAGCTATATCAGCACATCATCTTATACGGTAGGGGGCGGTAAAACTCCTAAGCGGTGAGCAGCCGGTAACAAGAAGTAGTCGAAGAAGAACGTCCTCGTCTCAGTTCTTGCGCATGCGCCCATAAGGAAGTAATGGAATAGTTGAATAAAGTCGTTATTTATGTTTTTTTCGCACAAAAAGTATTCTCGTCGCTTGATAAACTTATAATTGAGCCGCTGTAGGCACTTGGAATATTTAAACCTTTTCTTTAATGCCTTTATGGGCCGTCAAGAGCCAGTCCCTTATGCAGTCTATGGAAGAGTGATCCAGCCCTCAGATTCAATCAAAAATATCTTTATTTGTGTTCTGAAGATGATCGAAGGTCTTACGGGGTTGGTACAGCATGGGGGTGAGTAATTCATGACTTAATTTTCATTTTTGGGTGAACTAACCCTTTAAAACAAATAAAACCACTTGTTTTCCCCCCTGACTACTTTTTCCCACACAGTGCTATCGGGAATCGATAAGAAAATCGTTAAAGAATCGGATCGAAAAGCAGAATCGTTAGTGGCATTGATATCGATAAAATCTTATCAATTCCCATCCCTACTCTTGATACACCTAATCTACAGGAAAGGGATTCCTCCTTTAGGGTGGACGACAGCTAGGATGCAAGTCTAGGAGTCGATGTCTGTGGTCTTTCCACACCTCATAAAACATTACAGACTTAATGGGTGGGTCTCGAGAACCAATAAGCTCATGCAGCATGTTAGCATGTGGATACAATTCCGAGCTAGCGTTAATGACGATCACACTCAACATTCCTCTTACATACACAGCTAGGGAGCTCTCTAAAGAAAATAAATACTTGTTAGATGGGTATTAATAGAGCAGGGTTAAAGGGTGGTTTGAGTTACGCAGTAACTCACAAGGTTAGCTGACAAGTAATGCTGCAGATTTGGGAAAGTTTGGGAGCAGGGGCTGTTTTTTTGCTTTAATGCCAAGGCATGAGGGGTCGGCAAGGTGGACCCATCCATTCCATGCCAGAGAGGAGTCAGGGGTCAAACTCACTGGAGGACGTGACGCGGGAACCGTAGACGACCCCAGGACTGAAGCAGCTTGCGTGGATCTTCCCCATCCAACTGCAAGTCCTTAATGGAGTTGATGATTTGGGCATGCATGTCCCTGATTCAGCCCCGTGGAAAGGTGGGAGGAGACAGAGGGAGTAGGTAAGATTGGCGGGGAAGGGTAAGTACAGGAACCCAACACGCAAACGCCCTCCACCACACACACACAAACACAAAAAAAGGAATGTAATGTGGACAAAACGCAGGCAAGTGTGTTAAAGGACAACTCTGGCGCAAAATAAACCTTTGGTCTAATTGCACATTGTTACCTATTCAACAGTTATCTATGATTGCCGAATCTAAATAGTTTTATCTATAAAAACAGTTTAGCCTATAATGCTAGTATAACGCTAGTCTATAGGGCATAGAGTAATGACAAGTAAAAATCGCTTGTTATTACCACTATCAAGGCTCAAAATAGCCCCACAGTAACACGGTAGCACAATAAGGATCCCTACATTCAAACCGAAGCATTGAGAACTTTGTCAGTGTCCATACCGTTTAATAAGAAGATATTTTATACACACAGTCAACTTCACGAATACAGGAAGAAGCCATCTTTAAAATATAGTCCCTACCAGTCGATCTACGAACGCCGATCCAAGTGCGCTGAACTGTGCAAAATCTTATATGGTCCGTTGTTTCCGGAAGAAACACAAACACGAACCATTTTCTTCTCTTTAATATGTACATGTTGCCTACTGTTCGAACTCACATTATCACTTTATTCACATCTCACCAGCGCACTTGGATCGGCGTTCGTAGATCGACTGGTAGAGACTATTTTTCCAAGATGGCTTCTTCCTGTATTCGCAAAGTTGACTGTGTGTATAAAATATCTTCTTATTAAACTGTATGGACACTGACAAAGTTCTCAATGCTTCGGTTTGAATGTAGGGACCCTTATTATGCTGTCGTGTTACTGTGGGGCTATTTTGAGCCTTGTTAGTGGTAATAACAAGCGATTTTTATTTGTCATTACTCTATGCCCTATAGACTAGCGTTATAGGCTAAACTGTTTTTATAGATAAAACTATTTACATTCGGCAATCATGAAAAAAAATCTCAGATAACGGTTGACTAGGTAACAATGTGTAATTAGACCAAAGGTTCATTTTGCGCCAGAGTTGTCCTTTAAAGTTGACCTCTAATTTGGTGAACTATCCCTTGAAGCTTCAGTGGTGAATCCATGCTGTTGTTACTCTGGGGTGTTAAATGGGGGTCGGCACCCCATTCATGCACTGGTTCACTTACCACACGGGTCAGAACAACAGGAGGTCAAACAGGTAGGATTGGCACTGGGGGCTGGGGACGCACTTCCACAAACCAGGATGCGAACCCGCTTCTATAAAGGACATTTTATGGTTTCCTTCCCACTTACAGGTAATAAACCTCACTAGGTCCCAACAGGGATTTATGAGAGCATCGCTTTGAACAAACCACGTTAAAAACAAACTCTGGCTCACATAAAGAAAGAACAGCTTGCGTAGTTAGTTTCGACATTCTGCGAATGTGGTATTTGAGTTTGCTCACAATACCGGAAACCCAGCCTTCCCGAGCCGCCAAACTCTCCGTCTGACCTCAATGTTCTGCTTAAGTCCACTTACTTTTTACTCTCATAACTAGAAAAGATGTCCTCAAAAGCCTCTAGAGGACGCTCCTCTGAATGATCAAAGGAGAAATCAAGCATAGGAGCATGGCTGTAGAAAATAAACACCACACACACAGTCACTCGAGGCTCGACGCCACCAGCAGGTGCCGATCTACGACCAGCTTTATTGCCCATACGGGTTAAACTTTAGTGGAACTGATCACAGGTCAGTAAACCCTTGATAAACACCAGAGGAAAGATCAGGGACATTGCAGGGATATACTATACAAAATAACATGTTATATTTCACCCAAAAATTGGGTGAAATTTTATGAAAAGTAAGCATATCCCACCCAACTTTCATTGGTGTAAAGTGGGTAAAATAACGTTAAATTGTCTGTAATTTATGGTGATTTGCATGAGTGGTATTTCAATATATAAAATTTTCATTTAGTCGATTGTGTTGTTCGTTTTGTGAAATGAAAAGATGTATTATTTCTTCATGCAAAATATCACTTCCTTTTTTTATTTGGTTTTTGAGATGAAATATGACCTAGTCAGGTTTTTGTGAAACATATACCGAGTTATATTGTGTAGTTGCATTAACACTCAAAACCGAAAAATAGGACGAAGCGTATGAGATTACTGTGAGAATCGGCCTGCAATGTGCCGTGTAGAGACCGTGGTCACATGATCACCTGCCACACAAAGGCAACGAAAGGACAGGAAGAGATCAAGTTCCTCACAATACTTCCCCTCTCTCTCTCTCTCTCTCTCACAAACACACACACACACACACACACACCAGCCTGAGTCCAAAGCTTACCGATACATCCTCTCGATGGGCACGTTGGATCTCTGCAGCTCTCCTAGAGGAACTCTGGAGTTTGGTCTGACCACACCTGTACACACACACACACACGTTGACGGCGTTATTTCAACATGCGACGAGACACCCCGCCCAAAATGTCACCTTATTCACTTATTTTTATTATCCCTTCCTAGTTTAATCATGCTGAAATCCTTCTAAATATGAGCGTTTGCGTCAGCGGGCAGCTTTCTCACGTGCATGTTTATAAATAACCTTCTTAGACCCTGAGAATCCAAAGTTTTGGGCTAATCTGAAACTAATCCATAATGCTTCGTGGGTTACCCGCAGTTTTGGCTGCCCAGCGGCGTCCGGCCTCGTTGAAGGCGGCCAGTGCGCGGACGCTGGCACGGAGGATCCCCCACCGGAACATGGCCACCGGATCCATCCCGATCAGCTGCCGGACGTACGCTCGGTCACTGCTCCGCAACAGGGCCACGATATCCGGACGCATGTGATCCGTGTTCTTCTCACGGAAATCCTGTCGCGGCCGATACACACGACGAACGTTAGCAGAGACGTTCAACGAAACGGGTGTCTTTTGCAATGCGTTCATATTAAATGGTTAAAATATGTGTAAAATATTTTGTAAACATCAATTTTATTTTGTTGGCAGAAAAATTGATAATAAATTACACTATTAAATTTTAATATGAGGAAATATTAATAAGAAAAAATACAATAAACATTTGTATTATTACTTTAACAGTTAATAATCGTGGCATGTGTCAATAAGGGCATTTTGTAAACATTAAAAAAAATATTCTTATTATTTGGCCTGATCAAAATATAACATTAAATACAAAGATAAACAAAATACAGCTTTAACAAATATTAATTTTACTGTGTCGTTAAACACATTTACAAAATAAACATCAACAAAAATGAAAAATAAATTATATATATATATGAATAAATAATAATAATAAGTATTTTATTGTATTTATTCATATCACTTTTTAACATATTAATTATTTTTATACAATTAGAATAATTTATATTTATTATATCGTTTATGTTAATCTTAGTATATTCATATGTATTACTATAGTCAAAATAAATTACTATATTTAAATATAGTAAAATTATAACTTGTTAAACAATTTCTAAATACAAACATACACAAATAACAGCTTTAATAAATATTAATTTTACCGTGTCATTAAACACATTCACAAAATAAACATCAACAAAATGAAAAATAAATAAATACTATTATATATAAGTGTGAATAAATACATTATTAATTGTTAGTCATAATAATAAGTATTTTACTGGATTTATTAATTTCGCTCTTCAACATTTTATACATTTAGAATAATTTCTATTATTATATTGTTTGTTAATACTTAGTATATAAATATTTATTCTTATATAATTATTTAAATATAGTAAAATTATACCTTTTAAAACCGTGTAAACAATTCTTATTGTGTGTTTTAATATTTATTATATTCATTTACCAAAGTAATGAAAATATTTTTATATCACATGTTTTGTGTAATGTTTACAAAATGCCTTTAATGAGACACAGTAACATTTATAATTGTTAAAGGCATTTTTCACATTGATTTTCTTTTTAAATTCCTCCATATCTGCATGATATAGTCTAGCACTCGTTACCTTAATCTGGTATTTGACCTTCCCAGCAAAATGGAGGATGACGAAAGCCGGTTCCATCACCGGAGTCGCCACAAAGTACAGATTCTGCTGGTGCTGCTGTTTGAACTTGGCCAGCAAGGTTTTATCGGTGGCGTGAGGAAAGCTACAAAGAAAAGGTGTTATAAATACATTTGTGCAATGATGAGGGATGAAGCAGTGCGAGATGACCGCTCTTACTTGCTCTCCTCGTCCAGTAAATAGAGGAGTCCCGTGGGCTTCTTGCTGATGAGGTGGATGCAGCCCACATTATCGGTGTAGTCGATGTTGTGCCAGGTGATGCCCTCGGACTGATACTCCTCCTGCCGGGGGGGCAAACACACTTCACACTCACGTCGCCACTGGAAAGAGAGGTTGTGAAACCCGCACTGACCTGTTCAAGTTTAAAGATGTGCTGGTTGAAGTAATACTGAAGCTGCTCGTTGGCGTAGTTGATGCAGAATTGTTCAAAGCTGTTGGTCTCGAAGTCTTCGAAGCCGAAGATATCGAGCACACCGATAGACAAACACTGAAATATAACGCAGAAACAACATGAGACTTTGAATTCAACTCTGGCAACGTTTACATGCAACCAAACAATCCGTTAGTAGTGGGATTGGCGGCTCAATCCGACTGGAAAGCCTTCATGTAAACACTTTAATCGACATTGAAATTTTGATCGGATTGAATGGGGGGTTTATTCTGTTCTAGAACGATCCAGAGAGCATGTAAACACTTGATCGGATTGAAAACTGAAACTGAAAGAACTTCGAATGTGCAATGGCATAGAAATAGCAAAATGATGATGTAGAAATAGCGTAATGACGTAGAAATAGCATAGTGGCGTAGAAATAGCATAATGATTTAGAAATAGCATGAAGGCATAGAAATAGTGTAATGACATAGAAATAGCATAATGATGTAGAAATAGCATAATGGCGTAGAAATGACGTAGAAATAGCATGAAGGCGTAGAAATAGTGTAATGACATAGAAATAGCATAATGATGTAGAAATAGCATAATGGCGTAGAAATGACGTAGAAATAGCATGAAGGCGTAGAAATAGCATAATGATGTAGAAATAGCATGATGGAGTAGAAATAGTGTAATGACGTAGAAATGATGTAGAAATAGCATAATGACGTAGAAATGACGTAGAAATAGCATAATGACGTAGAAATGACGTAGAAATAGCATAATGACGTAGAAATGACGTAGAAATAGCATAATGACGTAGAAATAGCATAATGACGTAGAAATAGCATAGTTGCGGAGAAATGATGTAGAAATAGCATAGTGACGTAGAAATAGCATGATGGCGTAGAAATAGTGTAATGACGTAGAAATAGCATGATGGCGTAGAAATAGCGTAACGACGTAGAAATAGCATAGTGGCGTAGAAATGATGTAGAAATAGCATAATGACGTAGAAATAGCATGATGGCGTAGAAATAGTGTAATGACATAGAAATAGCATAATGATGTAGAAATAGCATAATGGCGTAGAAATGACGTAGAAATAGCATAATGACAGAAATAGCATGAAGGCGTAGAAATAGCATAATGATGTAGAAATAACATGATGGAGTAGAAATAGCATAATGACGTAGAAATGACGTAGAAATAGCATAATGACGTAGAAATGACGTAGAAATAGCATAATGACGTAGAAATGACGTAGAAATAGCATAATGACGTAGAAATGACGTAGAAATAGCATAATGACGTAGAAATAGCATAATGACGTAGAAATAGCATAGTTGCGGAGAAATGATGTAGAAATAGCATAGTGACGTAGAAATAGCATGATGGCGTAGAAATAGTGTAATGACGTAGAAATAGCATGATGGCGTAGAAATAGCGTAACGACGTAGAAATAGCATAGTGGCGTAGAAATGATGTAGAAATAGCATAATGACGTAGAAATAGCATAATGGCGTAGAAATAGTGTAATGACATAGAAATAGCATAATGATGTAGAAATAGCATGATGAAGTAGAAATAGCATAATGACGTAGAAATGACGTAGAAATAGCATAATGACGTAGAAATGACGTAGAAATAGCATAATGACGTAGAAATAGCATAATGACGTAGAAATGACGTAGAAATAGCATAATGGCGTAGAAATGGCGTAGAAATAGCATAATGACGTAGAAATGACGTAGAAATAGCATAATGACGTAGAAATGACGTAGAAATAGCATAATGACGTAGAAATAGCATAGTTGCGGAGAAATGATGTAGAAATAGCATAGTGACGTAGAAATAGCATGATGGCGTAGAAATAGTGTAATGACGTAGAAATAGCATGATGGCGTAGAAATAGCGTAACGACGTAGAAATAGCATAGTGGCGTAGAAATGATGTAGAAATAGCATAATGACGTAGAAATAGCATAATGGCGTAGAAATAGTGTAATGACATAGAAATAGCATAATGATGTAGAAATAGCATAACGACATAGAAATAGCATGAAGGCGTAGAAATAGCATAATGATGTAGAAATAGCATGATGAAGTAGAAATAGCATAATGACGTAGAAATGACGTAGAAATAGCATAATGGCGTAGAAATGACGTAGAAATAGCATAATGGCGTAGAAATGACGTAGAAATAGCATAATGACATAGAAATAGCATGAAGGCATAGAAATAGTGTAATGACCTAGAAATAGCATGATGGAGTAGAAATAGCATAATGACGTAGAAATGACGTAGAAATAGCATAATGACGTAGAAATGACGTAGAAATAGCATAATGACGTAGAAATAGCATAATGACGTAGAAATGACGTAGAAATAGCATAATGGCGTAGAAATGGCGTAGAAATAGCATAATGACGTAGAAATGACGTAGAAATAGCATAATGACGTAGAAATGACGTAGAAATAGCATAATGACGTAGAAATAGCATAGTTGCGGAGAAATGATGTAGAAATAGCATAGTGACGTAGAAATAGCATGATGGCGTAGAAATAGTGTAATGACGTAGAAATAGCATGATGGCGTAGAAATAGCGTAACGACGTAGAAATAGCATAGTGGCGTAGAAATGATGTAGAAATAGCATAATGACGTAGAAATAGCATAATGGCGTAGAAATAGTGTAATGACATAGAAATAGCATAATGATGTAGAAATAGCATAACGACATAGAAATAGCATGAAGGCGTAGAAATAGCATAATGATGTAGAAATAGCATGATGGAGTAGAAATAGCATAATGGCGTAGAAATGACGTAGAAATAGCATAATGGCATAGAAATGACGTAGAAATAGCATAATGACATAGAAATAGCATGAAGGCGTAGAAAGTGTAATGACCTAGAAATAGCATGATGGAGTAGAAATAGCATAATGACGTAGAAATAGCATAGTTGCGGAGAAATGATGTAGAAATAGCATAGTGACGTAGAAATAGCATGATGGCGTAGAAATAGCGTAACGACGTAGAAATAGCATAGTGGCGTAGAAATTATGTAGAAATAGCATAATGACTAGAAATAGCATGATGACATAGAAATAGCATGATGGCGTAGAAATAGCGTAACGACGTAGAAATAGCATAGTGGCGTAGAAATGACGTAGAAATAGCATGATGGCGCATGATGGCGTAGAAATAGCATAATGCAATAGCGTAATGATGTAAAAACAGCGTAATGACGTAGAAATAGCATAATGATGTAGAAATAGCATAATGAAATAGCATAACGGCATATAATTAGCGTAATGTCATGCTGAACTAGCTGCTCTTCCTGTTGAATAAAGTGCCATTAAATGAGTGTCCCGTTATCCAATAAGTGGAGTGGGACGTCCCACCAGTCCTCAAACTCATCCACAGACGACTGGTTTTGGGCATTTCTACTGTGTGATGAATACAAACACAACGGTTCATGAGCTCATCGTCTCCAAATTATGACCAGAAATGGATCAATATTAAGTCTGCAGTTTAAAACAAATAAAGAACCATGTGCAAACATCAGGAAACTCGTGCAAGTAAAAAAAATCCTGATTTATAGCTTGTGACACAAACGCACACTTCAAACCGATCACGTCTAGCGTTCATGTAAACACTGCGTTCGGATGAATAGAGTCCGACTGAGAGAAGAGTTCAGCCGCTGTTCATCTCACCGAAACAGACTCCTCCATGTCCTTCTTGTTGAGCAGCGCGTGATTGATCCGCAGGACGATCCAGTCGAACAGAGCGCTGTACAGGGACTTGGCCATGGAGTCCCGCGCCGTGATCGCCTGCAGGAACGACACTCGTGAGCTGGTGAACGTCTGCAGACGCATGTGTGTGAGCGGGTGTGTCTCGTACCTCGCTGTGGCTGTAGGGCAGAATCAGCTTATCGTTTACCGTCACCGTTTTCCTCTTGGTCAGAGCCTCCACCAGCAGCTCCTCCTTCACCTGCACACACACACACAGTGGTGGAGGAAGTACTGAATCTCAGTACTTAAGTAAAAGTACAAATACCCAGATAAATATTTACTTTAGTAAAAGTAGAAGTAACACAATGACAACCATACTTAAGTAAAGAGTAAAAAGTACTTTATTTTAAATGTACTTTTAGTATTAAAAGTAAAAGTACTTGCATAACAATTTATTATCTTAATGTCTATTTTCTAATGATTAATAAAACATTTAATTCTAACTCATTCAACCTAATAGCCTACTCCTATAATGATGTTCAATAATGATGGAAAAAACGTCACCATTTCTGAAACAAGCTTGCAATTAGGCAATATCATGCTTATCCTTACTATATGTTAATATGTTTGGCAGTAAACGCGATTCATTTATGGTGTAATTCTGAACCTCTTGGCTTGCCATAATCCTAACCAAACCAAACATATATTACACACGGTGTGTTTCCTATGCACGTAAAAACAAATTTTCGCGTATGAGTTGCACGATAAACACACTGCGTGCGAGACGCATTTAGTGTGACCGGCCGTGCTGTTGATATACTGCCGGGTTGATATACTGTATCCATGGCAACCAAACGTCACTGGTGTAAGGGTTAGACCACTAGGGCGCCATCTACCCAAATATATCTGCGTCTCATTTCACGTTAAAGGGTGCCATGTGCGTTGGATATAAGCTTTTGCAAAAGCGTCCGATATGGCGCTTTAGGATGAGAACGGGCTCGACGGTCAGATTACGTTTTGGCAGGGGAAAAACTGATCAGAAAATGTAACGAAAATGTAACAGAAGTTGTAGAAATGTAGTGGAGTAGAAAGTATAATAATTGCTGCAAAATGCAACGAAGTAAAAGTAAAAAGTAGGCACTATTTATTGTACTTAAGTAAAGTAAAGATACGTGAAAAATGTACTTAAGTAAAGTAACGAAGTATTTGTACTTCGTTACATTCCACCACTGCACACACACACACGAGAACGCGTGAGGAACGACAAACTACTGAGAGTGTGTGTGACAGGCTAACCAAAGATATGAAGGGAAAAACTTTGCTGTAAAAATGTATTTAATAATATAAAATATTTATGACATTATTTATAAAATAATACATAAAAATATTATTTTCATTTAATAAAAAAAGAAATATATTAGAAGATATTTCTATACCAATAATGCTATTGTAATGTAAAACAATTCTATGTAATAATTATTATTCCAATAATTATATAAAACAATAATAATAATAATACTTATTCAAACTATTTTATTTATTTTAAATATACAAATTCAAATCAATTAAGAAATATATTAATACAGTAATGATACTATTGTGCTGTATAATAAAAAAAATTATAAAATTATATATAAAATAATAATAGAACATATTTATAAAATATATAAAATATTTACAACAATAATATAATTTAAAATTTTATTGTTTACATTACAAAAAATGAATAAAAAAGGAATGTATTAGTATATTACCATTGCAATGAATATTATTCGTAAAATAATACTATTGTACAAAAAATGTAATAATAATTATATATACATACATAATTATACATACATAATAATTATATTATTATTATTATTATTACATAAAATAATAATAATAATAATAATAATAATTCATATTTGTTGTTAATTTTTAATTTATTTTATTATTTGAATTATAAAAATGAAAAGTGATTAATAAAGATTAAGAATTTCACAATAATATTATTGTACTGTAAAAAAAAAAAAAAATTATGTAAAAATTTATGCAATTCACTTTGGTCATACTTCCGGTCAAAAATAAATAAATCTGGAGAAAAAAAGAGAAAAAAATAAGGAAGGAAGGAAGGAAAGAAAGAAAGAAAGAAAGAAAGAAAGAAAGAAAGAAAGAAAGAAAGAGAAAGAAAGAAAGAAAGAAAGAAAGAAAGAAAGAAAGAAAGAAAGAAAGAACGAAAGAAAGAAAGAAAGAAAGAACGAAAGAAAGAAAGAAGGATTGCATCCCAGATGTAAAGTGTGGAGTGCCCCCTCACCTTGAGCAGGTCTGAGAGTGTGGAAAGCACCTCCGGCGGCCCGACGTCCAGCCCCTCCTCTCGACCCGACGACTTCTGACTGTACGTCACGTTACCCAGGTACAAGATGGCCGACAGCACCGAGAATATCCTGCAACAACCAAAGCTCTCAGATACCAGTCTACAAAGACAATCGTTTTTTAGTTGCTCTGTTTTACCACTGTTTTTTGCTTAATTTCTATGTATTTGTATCACTATAGTTGTACAGCACTTTGGTCTTTTTAAATGTGCCTAACATTAAACATGAACCATTGACCGGAGACTCACTGTCTTTTGGTGGCGGGCAGGAAGCCCACCATCTCCATGGCCTGCTGGAGACGCTCGAAGTCGTGCCGGAGGTCATCCGCATCTTCCATCGCGAAGTTTTGCTGCAAGCGAAGAGCAGAAGACCGTTGCAGTTCTCGGCTCAGTGGATGTTGTGTATATGAATAGGACTTTCAATGAGCGTCACCTGTTTGAGGTAGAAGTATTCTTCAGGCTGCAGGAGCTTGAACTCTCGCCGCTCGTCCTCCGACGCGCCCACCAGCAGATAGTAGAACACATGATAGTTCCTGCGCCAAGAGGGAATAACAGCCAATGAGCAGCAGCCAATGAACAGCAGCCAATGAACAACCAGCCAATGAACAGCAGCCAATGAACAGCAGCCAATGAACAGCAGCCAATGAACACCAGCCAATGAACAGCAGCCAATGAACACCAGCCAATGAACACCAGCCAATGAACAACCAGCCAATGAACACCAGCCAATGAACACCAGCCAATGAACACCAGCCAATGAACATTAGCCAATGAACACCAGCCAATGAACACCAGCCAATGAACAACCAGCCAATGAACACCAGCCAATGAACAGCAGCCAATGAACATTAGCCAATGAACACCAGCCAATGAGCACCAGCCAATGAACAGCAGCCAATGAACACCAGCCAATGAACATTAGCCAATGAGCACCAGCCAATGAACAATCAGCCAATGAACAACCAGCCAATGATCAACAGCCAGTATATGAAACATATAAGTTATTAACATATAAGACATTAAAGACCGTTATAACTTCTAATCTTGTTTTTAGACCAAATAATGGTCCTATTTATTTAAATAGATTTAAATGAGTACTGTTAAATATAATGTAATGTTATATATATATATATATATATATATATATATATATATAAAACTGTACATTATATTTAACAGTACTCATTTAAATCTATTTAAAATTATTTACAATATTTGTTAGATGCGTTTAATCACGATTAATCTATTTAACAGTTCTTATTTACTGTACTCAGTACTCATGCGATTAATCGCCTCCAACATAAATAGTTGAAATAATATTATATATTATATATATATATACAGTATTTTTTATAATATTTATGTAAGATGTCATTAATTGCAATTCATCTATTTAAAAGTACTCAAATAAATATTTATTTATATTTTAAATTTGAAAGAGGCGATATCTTGTTTTAACTAATTTATCTTAACAATTTGAATAAGTCAATTCATTCATAAACCATAGTACTACTTATGTTGATGTAAATACATTGAGTACTTTAATTTACATTTATTTATATATAAAATTTGAGATTTGGAGAATTTAAGAATTTGAATTTTTTTAGACCGAGTCAATTAATTAAAACATGGTAATATTAAATTATGCTGATTTTGTTTTTTCCAAATATGAATGTATTTATGTACATACATTAATTTTGATGTATGGTGATATTGTTGTTTTTTTTTTACATTTACATCATCAAAATCAAATTAATTCATAAAAGACGGTCATATTTAAATAAATTGTGCATAAAATACAGTTTGTAGCCCAAAACATAATATATTTATGTAATTTAATTCATAGATGTATACATACATTAAATCTGAGGGTGCCATCTTGTTTTTGGATCATTATTTTCACTTAAACTATTGAATTATGAATCAGTTCACGACGGGGAATCCCAACGCCACAAGCAAGCTAGCTAGAAAGATATTTTACAATATTTTGGAAATCTTCAGTCACTCTACTGAAAAATGTTGCCAGGTTTGTAGCGTCCCTATTTTTAGCGCTAACAGTGCAGGGTCTGTTTTTCGAGTTCTGCAACCTGATTATCTTCCACGGCGATCAGATAATAATGAGGTTAGCGCTGCAGAAATGAGTGTGAGATCGACTCGTCTGTGGGAACCATCTGTCTCTCGACCCAAGCCAACTACAAACAAAGTCTTGAAAGCTTTTACCTCTCGTTCTTCTCTCGGGAGACCAAGCGGGATTTCTCCAGCAGATATTTCTCCACCACAGCCCTGAAAGACACAAGCGTCACATGACAGCAGCTCGGCCTTCAAAAGCACACAGATGTCAATCAAAGCGGCGAACACAGTGAACACACACTTCGATTAAATGCTCTAAGACTCCTAGATATGTGATGAACCCCAATACTACAAACTTTGATTCGAAACAAAAGACTGTGTGCTAGTGTCTAGTGTCCACTTAATGAGCGTCATCCGATGAAGTGCACTCCGCCGGAGAACAATAGTGCCACTGAGAGCATCCGGACGGCTTTATTGACGTCTCTCAGGCTTTCTTTAGAGGACCTGGAGTAGCGTAACACCATTAGGGGCTGTAACTCATGCGTCACTACTGTAGAACGAAATCATCCTCAAACCGTACTGTCGTAAATTGGTCGTTCAACCACATTGGTTAATGATGTCATCATGTAACGAACCCGTTTGAGATCGAATTAATGCTATGGAAAATATGATATTTTCCACTTGCATATATATGTCATATGTTTGTATTGTCTTATGTATTTTCTGTACAACACTTTTGTTCCAGTTGTGGTGTTGAAAGTGCTCTATGAATAAAGTTGAGTTGGTATTTACCAGTGTGTTTTGTTGTTGTAATGTGGGTTTCGATGCTTTCGGATACTTTAGGCCAATCACTTACACACTTATATTTCTAATAATTTATAATAGAAACAGCTGAGGAATAAAACATGTGTAACTGTAACAGTACACTGTTAGACCTTACCAGGTTTTTTACAGTAAAATTTACTGTAAAACGCACTAAAACTAATAAGTTGTATTTTTTAGTTAACTTGAGTTTTAGTGCATTTTTACAGTAAATTTTACTGTAAAAAACCTGGTAAGGTCTAACAGTGTATAACGGATCCGTGCATACACTCTTAAAGTGACAGCGGCCTAATATTTCATGTTTTTATTAAAATTATTTTGTATTTGTTTATTATTTAAATAATACATTTATCCTTTAAAAATAATTTATTAATACATTATAATTTATTATTATTCATTCATTGATTCATTTAGGGCTGTGAAACGATTAATCGCGTCCAAAATAAAAGTTTGTGTTTACATAATACATGTGTGTGTGTAGCGTGTATAATTATTTTGTATATATAAATACACACATATGCATGTATATATTTCAGAAAAAATGTGTTATAAATATATATAGTATATATATATATGCAAATATGTCTTAAATCTATACATGCATGTGTGTGTATTTATATATACAAAATAATTATACACACTACACACAGATATATTTTGTAAACACAAACTTTTATTTTGGATGCGATTAATCGGTTCACATCCCTGGATTCATTTAATTATATCTTTCCTACCTGAACACGGTTTTCATGAAACTCACCAACTTTTTTTTTATTGTATTATTTATTTTATTTACACTGCATAAGGGCTAAACTCACCTGGAAGTACATATTAATATTTAAATGTATATAATTCATGTGAATGGAAATGTTTAGTGTATTTATTTTAAAAATTATACATATTTTTAAATTACATTATCTTTTTTAATTAAATCTATTTATTAAATGTCATTGCATTGCATTTTTATCTACAGTATTATGATTTTTTATTATTTATACATAACATTTATTAATGTATTGAACATGAATTTTAAATCGGTTCAATATAAAAGCAGTCATGCGACTCTGAAGAAAGCGTATAAAGGAAAGCTAGTTCTTGGAATTGATTCGGCCAGACTGAACACTCGAGCGGAGGAGGAACCATGTCAGATCCACTGGTTCCTTAATTGTGTTTAGACAGCGTCTGCCGGAGTGCATGAGGAAGTGATGCGTATGCCGGAGTGTGATGTCAGGGGCAGATGGCAGGGTGTGTGTGTGTGTGAGAGTGAACAGCAGCTGATAAGAGCTTCAAAGCCCAGGGTCAGTGTCTGAAGGCTCACCCTCGCACCACTCCGCTCTCCAGGTAATTGACCTGGATGAACTTTCCGAACCGGCTGGAGTTGTTGTTGTGGGCCGTCTTGGCGTTTCCAAATGCCTGTTGAGAGAGAGAAAAATAATAATGTGATTTTGTAAAATTATACGTTTTTGTTTAGCTTATTTTACTGAAAGATGTGTACAAGTTGTGCTCAGAATTAATGGCACTTGATCATATGGTAAATATGATCAAACATGGCTGAAAAATGAATAAATATGCATTTTTTCTGCAAAAATCGAACGTTTCTTTGAAGTAAAATAATTGAATGAGTGAGGGGAAAATCACATTATGAAATACATGTTTTAATTCTAAATGATCATATTTAGCAGGGGTGCCAATAATTGGGGGACCACAACTGTTTATGCATTATTTTTCAAATGCGAAGTTAAATTAATAATCTTTAAAACTTTTTGTTCAAGACAAATCAGAAAAAAAAATAGTGTTTTTAATTCAAAACATTAAAAATTATATTAATTATTAAAAAACGTTTTAATAATAGAATTTATTATTGTTATTTAATTATTAACTATAATAAATAGAAAAATAGCTGAACAATAACAAACTGTTTACTTTAAAACTTATATTATTGAAACGTTATTATTGATACGCTATTATTCTGTAAACAATACTTATTTTTACTATTAAAAAAATTGAAATTATAACAATAGATACAAAAAACGATTTCATTAAAACCATAAAATATTTTTAATTTAAACATTATTTGTTACAATATACAAATTGTTCTATTACAAATTGTTATGAATAAAAACACAAATCAAAATTAAGAGAAAGACTATTTTAAAACCAATACAAATGTATTATTAATAAAAACAATTATTTACGACTAACATTATTTGAATAACAACAATAATAATTCTTAATGCAATTACCGATTATTTATAATAAGACAGAATTAAAAATTGAAAATGTCCTTTTTTATTTTTTTTTTAAACAAAACCACAAAATATACATTCAAACAGTCAGTCAATATAGACAAGAGGAACATGGTCTAATCATAAATAAGATTAAATAACGTTTCAGATGCAAATAACTCCATCCGAGTGACTAACTCAAACAAATATTCTGTATTTCCGTGAAGCGTCTGATTATGTGGCCAGTCACATGACCCCATCCACAGTCACATGACCTCATCCACAGTCACACCTCGCCCGTGTGAAACGCTGTGATTAACGTGTCTCTCTCTGGCGAGGAGGACCTTCCCTCGGAGGAACACTGTTCGCCCAACAAAAGCCCCGTCCGGGGCGAGAGAGGCTCTGTGCATGTTAAAGAGAGAGAGGCTTTGTGCCAGACACCAGTGGAAAACACACGGGGGAGGGGAAGGGCTCGAACCTCATTAAGATTCCCTGCAGTCGACCCGTGAACCCTTTCACCACACACACACACACACACACCCCACTCCATAAAGGGAACATTCAATGTAGCCAATCGGGACGGCTGAACTGTCACAAATTAGCATTCTGTCACTGTTTGCTTACTCTCGTGTGGAAGACCAAACTACAAACTTCATGCAAGTGTTTCCTAGCAACAGAAGCACAATACAGCATCAGCTGTCCATATTCACCATATTAAACATTTTTTTTTTTTTTTTTTTTTTTTTTTAGATTGACAGATGTGGTTAATATCTGAAGAATGGAAAAGAACGACATAAGGATTTCTCAAATAAATAAAAATATAAGCCTTTAATAGAGTAAATAAATAATGCAGAAATAGCGTACATAAAATTAAAATTAAATAAATAAAAAAAATCTATTTTATAAGTAAATAAATATAAATGAGTAAAATCAATAACTAAATATATAAAATGACCGAGTATATGAAAATGCGTAAAAAATATAGACTAAAGCGAAAAATAAATAAATGCACTAATAATTAAATAAATTTAAATCAGTGAATAAATACCTAAATAAATGAAAATAAAAGTAAATGCATCATAAATGCATAAAAAAATGACTAAGCAAAAAAAACTAAATAAATAATGTGAATAAAAAGGTAAATAAATAACCAATTTAAATAAATAATGACTAAGTAAATGTGTAAATAATACATATAAAATAACTATGCATGCAATTAAAAAAGTAAAATATAAATTAGATAAACAAATCAATAAATAAAAAAAAACAGACTAAGTGAATAAATAGATAAATAAATAAAAACTTTCTAAGTAATTAAATAAATCTAATTATATATAAGCTTCTCAAGATAACACAATCAAGCATTGACACACTTTTTTGGGACATGTTCATGAGAAAGTTCATAAGAAGAAAGAAATCACAAGATTCATTGAAGAAAAAACACAGAAGTGAAAGAATTTCAAGCAGTCAGTTGACTAGATTTGACAGTCGCTGGATAAACAATGCAACACACTTCACTCCTGCAGTTCAGATTGAAACACGTCTCCACACACTCGCTGTGATTGGCTGAGGGACTCGAGAAGAGTGTCGCAACACAAACATGCGAGTCCTTCTCCTGCCAGACATGGGAAAGGAAAGAAAAAGGGGTAGGGGAGAAGACAGAAACCTGCCGACCTGTCGGGACTAGTTCTTATTCCTGCGGTTATTCGGGAGTCAACAGCACGCCGTGGATTTCCACGAGAAAGCCGCAAGCCTCTCGTTCCGTACAGAAACTGCAACTTCAACAACAATAAATACCATTGAGCTTAACTGAGATTTCAGCAGAAGCAGAGGCCGAAAACTTCACTAAAATAACAACAACAGCAACTTCAGCATCTGAACCTGCTGCTAAACATTCGTTTATTTAGTATTTAAAATATACAAAATAAACAAATGGATCTAAATTATATATATATATATACACACACAGACACTCACCTAAAGGTTTATTAGATCTGTTCGATTTCTCATTAATGCAATTACCTAATCAACCAATCACATGGCAGTTGCGTCAATGCATTTAGGGGTGTGGTCCTGGTCAAGACAATCTCCTGAACTCCAAACTGAATGTCAGAATGGGAAAGAAAGGTGATTTAAGCAATTTTGAGCGTGGCCGGTCTGAGTATTTCACAATCTGCTCAGTTACTGGGATTTTCACGCACAACCATTTCTAGGGTTTACAAAGAAAGGGAAACACATCCAGTATGCGATGGCAGTCCTGTGGGCGAAAACGCCTTGTTGATGCGAGAGGTCAGAGGAGAATGGGCCGACTGATTCAAGCTGATAGAAGAGCAACTTTGACTGAAATAACCACTCGTTACAACCGAGGTATGCAGTGAAGACACAACACACACAACCTTGAGGCGGATGGGCTACAACAGCAGAAGACCCCACCGGGTACCACTCATCTCCACTACAAATAGGAAAAAGAGACGACAATTTGCAAGAGCTCACTAAAACTGGACAGTTGAAGACTGGAAAAATGAGTCTCGATTTCTGTTGTAGTCAGAATTTGGCGTAAACAGAATGAGAACATGGATCATCATGCCTTGTTCCCACTGTGCAGGCTGGTGGTGGTGGTGTAATGGTGTGAGGATGTTTTCTTGGCACACTTTAGGCCCCTTAGTGCCAATTGGGCATCGTTTAAATGCCACGGCCATTGTTTCTGACCATGTCCATCCCTTTATGGCCACCATGTCCCCGTCCTCTGACGGCTATTTCCAGCAGGATAATGCACCATGAATCATTTCAAATTGGTTTCTTGAACATGTCAATGAGTTGACTGTACTAAAATGGCCGCCACAGTCACCAGATCTCAACCCGATAGAGCATCTTTGGGATGTGGTGGAACGGGAGGGTTGTGTATCCCACAAATCTCCATCAACTGCAAGATGATATCCTATCAACATGGGCCGACATTTCTAAAGAATGCTTGTTGAATCAACGCCACGTAGAATTAAGGCAGTTCTGAAGGCGAAAGCGGGTCAAACACAGTATTAGTATGGGGTTCCTATTCCTAATAATCCTTTAGGTGAGTGTGTTTTTTCCCCATTTAGATCACAAAACAACTTTGAATAACCCAAAACAAACTATTCCTTTATACATGTGTTGCTGCCAGAACTGCACGGTCACCCGTCTGGTTTGACGGCCACTGAAATCTAAGTCATCCCCACAATGCATCATGAATCAACAAAGGCCTTATTCTCATAAAAAAGGCCAGTAGAATCCTATTACTCACAAATAACACTATGGGACACTCACATGACTGTTAAATATAGCAGCTTCTCCTTTTATTCCTGGAGCAATGAAATAGTCCAAATATCAGGCCAAGACAATCTCGCATCTCAAGTGAACTGTATGACTTCATTCTTGCTTCTGCCTCTTCAGCTTAAGCACAAAAAGACAACTCCGGATGGCTTTGTTCGGTGTTATTATGATATCGTGTTAGCTGGTGACAGCGTGTACGAGCGCTAATTGAGATCACGGACACAATGGCATATATAAAACAAGAACGAGGCATCAATTCATTAGCTCACACTAACAAACAAACTACATCTGTACTCTACATCTTCAAGTACTAGGACAAGAAAGCTAATGCTAATGACAAGCTAATGCTAACACCGATTAGCTATACATTTAAGGAATAGAGTGCGCAAATCACACAAACAAGACCTGAATCCAGACTTCGGGTGTTTGACTATAGTATTAAGCCATTTCGATCTTTAAATTAACAGACGTTTATTTCCAGCAACCTGGAAATTGTAGACATTTTAAGGTGTACTCCACTTTTTTTTTTGAAATAGGCTCATTTTACCACTCCCCTAGAGTTAAACAGTTGAGTTTTTACCGTTTTCGAATCCATTCAGCCAATTTTTTTGATATTTAGAAGAATATCAGTAAACAGACAGTTTCTGGTCTCATTGACTTCCATAGTATATTTTTTTCCTACTATGGAAGTCAATGAGACCAGAAACTCTTTGGTCACTGATATTCTTCTAAATATCAGAAAATCGGCTGAATGGATTCGAAAACGGTAAAACCTAAATGTTTAACGCTGAGGGAACGCTGTAAAATGAGCCTATTTCCCAAAAAGTGGAGTATGCCTTTAAATGAGCCTTTAATGACAGAATGGGCTATTTTCCACATGTC